ATGCTGTCTCCCGTAAAAACATCTAAAACCCGTATTTTTTATGCTGGTAGGTAACCCTTAAACCAAGAAGTGGAAGGTGGCAACCCTAGGCAACTATAATAATCTTTTTCTACCCCTATTACGGAATATGACCGTTCTAATATCAATTTTTAATATGGCTTATATTCCTGAAAGTATTACAGAATGAATTATTCTATCATAGGATGACAATAAACACTGGTGGCGACATCTCTGTGTTTAATATACAGGGTGGGCCAATGGGAAGTTTCCACCCCGATTTTCTCAGGTGTTACGAAAAAAAATAAAAAACGCTCGCACCCGTCGATTTGATTTGAGGGGGACAATTTATTTTTATATTTTTAACCCCTTAACTTCAACCCCTAAGCGTGGGTGATAGTTACCCCCAAAATTTAAATAGGAAAGGGGGGTCGAATGATACTTCATTTTGAAGGTATTTTTGCCCTGATTATACCCTCCAAGTTTGAACTCGCTGCTAGCATCCCCGTTGATATGACAGCTTGTTAAAATCTTGGAAATAGATCACGTTTTATTATAAGTAAAAACAATACTTACCTTCCTTAATAAAAATATCTACTAATTAAAGTTTTATTATTATTAATAAAAAGTTATTTACATGATATTTATTTAATAAACTGTTCAAAATGTCCTCCATTAACATTCATGCAATAATAAAATCGATTCTCTACCTCTTCTCTAACATTCTGCAACATGTCGGTAGTTATCCTTTGACACTCTTCAGTTATTCGTTCTTGTAGAACTTGAAGAGAAGCTGGCTGTGTTTTATAAATTTTAGACTTCAAATGGCCCCATAGAAAGAAGTCCAGAGGTGAAAGATCAGGGGACCTTGCAGGCCACTCAATAGGTCCTCTTCGGCCAATCCAATGGTCTCTAAAATTTTCATTTAGAAATTGCTGAACGGGGGCTGCATAATGCGGTGGGGCTTCATCTTGTTGAAAAAACATTTTATTTTTCGACAAATTATTATCTTCAGCAATAACTTCCCTTATTCTAGGAACAATATTTTCTTCAAGTAAAGTCAGATACATAGCCTCAGTGAAATTGCCTTGTAAAAAGAATAGTCCAATTATGTTATTGCCTAGAATACCTGCCCAGACATTTAACTTTTCAGGATTTTGAGTATAAGACTCTCTAAATAAATGTGGATTTGAATCGCTCCAGTATCGACAATTATGTCGATTGACTAATCCATGTAAAAAAAAGGAGCATTCATCTGAAAAGCAGACATTATAAAGAAAATTTCTTCTACAAATTGTAATCGTCGATCATAATCATCCTCATTAAGTTCGTGAAGCAATTGTATCTTGTAGGGGTAAAATTTGTGAACCTTCAAAATTCTCCTTACGCTTGTTCGTGATATGCCGGAAACTTCGGACAATAATTGCCTAGTACTTAAGGTGTTATCCATTGCAATGTGCCCTATGACTACGATTTGCATACCTTCATTCCTAACGACACGAATCGGATTATCTTTTTTGTTCTCCACTGTTCCAGTTTCCAAAAACTTTACCATCAGTTTCCTAATATAAGTATGAGAGACATTTTTGTCCTGATGTCTTACATTAAATAGTCGTGCTGTTTGTCTTGCACAGTCATTGTTTTTGAAATAAGTATAAACTAATTCAACTCGCTCGGCTATAGTGTATACCATAATTAAATTTAGTTATAAGCTCTCGAACTAACGATAATAATCTTAATGATGATTGTGCGACAATATTGTGTAAATAAAGTTTACAAAAAACACATTTTTTTCTTCAAACGTAAAAAAACTGATGTTTTGCTAATATTTACTTCATTCCTTCAGCATACCTACAGACCGTCTCAAAAGTATCGCTTTTACTCTTACTAAAATAATAGCCAATTTTCAAGATTTTAACAAGCTCTCATATTAATGGGGATGATAGCAGCGAGTTTAAACTTGGAGGGTATAATCAGGGCAAAAATACTTTCAAAAAGAAGTATCACTCGACCCCCTTTTCCTATTCAAATTTTGGGGGTAACTTTCACCCACGCTCAGGGGTTGAAGTTAAGGGGTTGAAAATATAAAAACAAATTGTCCCCCTCAAATCAGAAATCGACGGGTGCGAGCGTTTTTTATTTTTTTTCGTAACACCTGAGAAAACCGGGTGGAAACTTTCCATTGGCCCACCCTGTTTAACAAATTTAGACAGATCCAACCTCACTTTTTCCCAATTAAATAATTTTCCTATAGTATTTTTTAGAAACCTAGAATAAGTATACCTAGTCTGAAACACGTTTGGGATTGCATATTTCGCTCTCGTGAAACCGTCAAACTCGCATTCGGCTCTTGTGACAAACTTTTCACTCGAGCGGAATATGCCGTATTCCAAACTTGTTACAGAATATACAATTAAAATCGGAAGAAAGTGATGTGATAATAAATTTTGTTATTAATGAAAATTACTTAAATGGAGTAGAAAAAGCACCGGATTAAGCAACTTGGAGGCCCGGAGCTTATGTAATATTTTGAGGCCCTTATTTTATTGTAAGTAAGGATTTTTTAGCGACGATAATAAAATGTGAAAAAAAACATGAAAAAAAAACGTTTTTTTGTTTTCAAATCCGCTACAATAAAGCATATTCTGTCAATAAATAACATAAATCTTAAAAATTGAGTAATTTTTCAAAAGAAATTTTGAGTAAAATGTAGAATATATTACATTTTTCATTATTGAAAATTTTGACCAAACTAAAAAATCTGATTTCTTATTATTTGGTAGTTTCCACATAAGAAACCATGGTTTGCAACAACAATGTAAAACTTCTAAACTAATGAAAAAAAAAATAAAGGATAAAAAATGGTCGTATTGGAGCCGTAAAAAAAGCAATTTAAAGCATAAAGTTTCTAGTTTTGAGATTAAAAAAAAAAATTTTCAAAACAACGTGCAACGCTTAATCCTAACGAATACCGTAATAAAAAAAATTCGAAATTGTTTTGGCTTTCCTTTTGGTCCACGGAAAAAAATGTTCTGACTTAACAACCATATGGACCGGATAACTTGTTCATTCAGCTTCAATTTTTTTAGACTTTGATACGAGCTCTGATACGACCAATTTTCGCTGAGATATCGGACTTTGAATGGAAAAGGATCATTTTGTCTTTGACCATCAATATCTTAACAACCAAAGATTACACAGAAAATTCAAGGTGGGTATTTCTCACAGACCACCATAGATAACAAAGCCACCATGTTTTGGTGGTCTGTGGTATTTCTGGATTTGAATTTAAAATTAATGTTCGTTACACAGCACCACCTGTTGGTCATGGGAGGAATCTGTTGTTTACAGAAAAGTTTTCTAATTTTGTCTATATTTACAGTCAATAAAAGCGGGAAATTGATCATCTGTCATCAAAAACACCTAACCTAGTCAAGCCAATTTTAAACACACAACATGAAGATTTTTGTAAAATATAAGCAATTCTGTGGGTTATATGTATAGTACTATTTTGAGTAGCTGTAAACAAATAAAAATGAACATAGACATATACTCCTGTCAACTCTGTGGGTAAAAGGCATAAGGGGATAAGTAAAAAAAAGCAATTTTTCAGTAGAGCCTTAAACGTATTCGCATTAATTTAGGAAACATATTTATGGTTAGCGGGTATACCCTTTTGTTAGCCCATGTCCTATGCTAACAAAAGCGTATACCCGCTAAACATAAATATATTTCCTGAATTAATGCGAATACGTTAAAGACTCTATTGAAAAATTACTTATTTTGACTTATCCCCTTATGCCTTTTACCCACAGAACTGACAAGTAAGTTTTTATAAAAAATTCAATGTTATTTAATCTAATTCCTGTTTTACTTATCAGTTGAAGCACTGAAAATGGCTTAAGGCCGAAAGCGCTCGGCAAATCAAAACTTTTCACAATACACGATCATACAAAAAAGAAAAATCCTTTTTATTTCACTTTAATACAAGAATTTGCTATTGTTTTTCAGAAAAAAAATCCATACTCAACATGAATTTAAAAAATCATAAAAAAGGGGTTTTGGTAGCTTTTTGAAAAATCATGCGCTGAATCAAAAATATTATAGGTTGTAACTTTTTTTAGGACCAAATCAAAACAAGCGCGGCCCTTATTGGTCAATTCGGTGGTGGTGGCGCGTGCATACCGCGAGACTATTTAAATTTACTAAATGTCATTTATGGTTAAATTTTAGTCTATGAACTGGAACTGGAAACATAAAAAATTAGGCAAATGGGACTAATCTATAAAACCTAAAATATGAAAAGAACCTGATAAAAAAACGGACCGTTTCTTTTAATAAGATTTGACATAATATGTCAAATCTCTATTCACAACAGGAATGTTTGTTGTGTGAGTCACACAGTGTGACATAAATGTTTACAATTTTTGGACAACACACAGCAAACATCAATGGGCAAGCAAGTATGAGATACATGTTGTGCCACTTTTGTCATTCCTCGATTTGAAAAACTCGCATTTTCTCGAAGTTGTTGAGAAAAATACTGACCTTAACTTTTTTAAATGTGAATGAATGATTCCAAAACTTGCCTTTAGCTTGTTATGCAAACTTCACATTCATTAAAAATTAAATCATTATTATTATATTATGATTTAGATATCTGATTTTAAAATAACAGTATACCCTCGAGTATACCTATTTAAAGTAAAAAATAATAAATTGTAAAATAGGATACCTATACCCATCTGTGATAATTGGGACAATGTATGATACAAATGCATGCCATTTTATGGCTGGCTTTACATTTACATTGATGACATTGATGCTGTCCAAGTCCAAATAAAAACAAACTTTGTTTAACCATTTGAAGTTTTAAAAGTAAGGTTAAATAAGTTTGACAAATTGTGATTTTACGTCAAACGTCAACTTTTAAAATTTTATAGTAGTTTTTAACTGCCTTGATACAAAACATGTTGAATTTTGTATTTAACCCAGATAAGTACCTATCGAGTCTCCCGTGGTACCACAGAGTTTCCAAGGGTGCATAATGGGCCGAGTCCCCCAGGTCCTGTTCTTCCCCATGTTCCGGTTTCGGTGGAGGCTGTATGTCTTGTTCGTTTCCGTCCTCGCTTCCTGTTGAAGGTGAGCCCAGTTTATCTTTCATCATGCCAGCTCCTTGGTTGTGACTTCCTGTGCGTATTAAATCGGCCATCTCAATCGAAAGCACACCCTAATCCATTACAGAATCCGACACTAAACGCTCACTTACTTCGTAAACCGCACTACGATAATCTGTGGGAACTAACCTAGGCCATTGTTTCCTCTATCAAATTCTTCTGTTCACAATGTTATTGACGTTTCCGATTCTAACAACACTCATACAAGTTTACTCACATATGACAGATATGAAAATCTGTAAAGTGAATGACTCAGCCGGTAAGTACATTGGACTTTTATTTGTTTTGTAAACAGTCGCGAATCAGATGATTCCATTGGCTTCTGTGCAACTGCGACAACGTGCGCGCCAAATTTAAATGGACATGGCTTCTTTATTTTAAATTTGACAAAAATTATCGTTCTTTTTATAAAAATATATCTCATAAGTTATGGAACGCTAAAGTATTTTTTAATCGTCAATAAAAATATCACATTTGAATTTCCGATCACAAATTCAATTTCTGATATCAGAAATTTATTTGCGATATCGAAAATGTCTTAAAAAATTAACAACTTATTAAATAAAAATATATTTATTCTACTCCATATTTAATAATAATAATAATAATAATTTATTTATTGCCCAACAGTTTAAACCATTACAGGACATTTAAATAGGATACATGCGTACTATATAGTATTCAAATTATAAAAAAATATATAGATAAACCTAAACAACATATTATGTGTGCAACATTTAAAGATGCTAATTAACATATTTAATTATATGGCTAAGCGTATTAAAGTTTATGTCACAAGATTCACAGAATTTATTAAAGTTACTGCACATCACAAATAAGGGCGACTTAAGTCCCAAATTAGTTCTATTGAAGCTTAGAAGAAAAGTAATTTTATTTCTGCTAGTCAATCTTGGCACCGAAAAGTTAATCTGAGAAAGCAAATCACTACAACTAATTTGAGAATTAAGCAACCTAAACAAAAATGAAATTGATGCAATAACCCTTCTCTTTTCTAGAGATTTAAATCCAAATGTCGATAGTAGCAAATCATGGTCAAATCCCTGAGTTGGATATTCATTATATATTCTAAGATGTAAGAGCTTTAAAAATTTGCGTTGTACAGTTTCAATGCTTGTTATATGGACTAGATAGATTGGATACCAGATTATGGAAGCATATTCCATCTTTGACCTTATTAATGCAAAATACAGCATTTTTAATGAGCTTTCATTTATAAATTGCTTGGTATTTCTAATGAGAAAACCCAACATTCTAAAAGATGAGTTTACTACCGCGTTGATATGATTTATAAAATTCAGCTTCGTATCAAACCTAACTCCCAGATCCTTAAATTCTGTAACTTGTTTTAAACGCCTATTGTTGATTTCATAATTATACAATATACTATGCTTTTTCTTTGTATATATCATACTCTTGCATTTATTGATATTTAAATGAAGGTTATTTATGATACACCAATTATATAGATTATTTAAATTATTTTGCAGTTTAATGCAATCATCAACAGTTTTGATTTCTAAGTAGAGTTTCAGATCATCAGCAAATAGTAAATTGTAAGCTGTTAAAATGTCTGGTAGGTCGTTGATGAAGATAAGAAAAAGTAGTGGTCCTAGATTGGATCCTTGTGGAACACCTGATGTTGGAGTAAACGGTTTAGAACAAAACTCATTGTAAGAAACATATAGCTTTCTATCTGTTAAATAGGAAATGAAGAAAAATATTAAATGGTCAGAAAATCCGATTTTTTTAAATTTAATCTTAAGTCTATTATGATCTATTTGGTCAAAGGCTTTCTGGAAATCTGTATAGATTACATCCACTTGTCCATGATTATCAAGCACATTACTGGCAAACTGTGTAAATAATGTTAAATTGGTGACCGTTGACCGTTTTTCAACAAAACCATGTTGTTGATTTGATATTATATGACTTAACTGGAAGTATATTTTTCTATAAATAATACTCTCGAACAATTTTGCAAAATTACAAAGTATAGCAATTGGCCTATAGTTTTCAACGTTAGAAGAATCACCGGATTTCAAGACCGGAACAATTTTTGAAGTTTTCCAAATTTTGGGAAATTTACCGGTACGTAAAATTAGGTTAAATAGATACAGTAACGGTTTCAATAGTCCAACGCTGCAATCCTTAGCAATGAAGCTTGGAATATAATCAACTCCGCAAGTAAACTTGTTGCTTAGTTTTTTTACTGCATTTAAAATTTCAGTTTCAGTTATTGGATCCACTTTAATATTATTTATTGAACAAAACTGTTCGTCCGTATTATTTAAATTCGGTAATTGATATACACTTGAAAAGTAGGTAGCAAATATATTCACAATATCATCAGGATTGGTGGTTGAGTTTCCATTATAATGCATACTATTAGGTATTCTAGTACACCCTTTCTTACTTTGAACAAATGACCAAAAGGACTTTGGATCGTTTTTAACGTTATGTTCAATTTTAGCAATATACTCTTTATATGATTGTTTAATTTGACGTTTAATCAATGATCTAATATTCTTAAATAGTTCGAGATAAATAAGTTTATTAGTTTGTTTAAATTTTTTGTGATAGTTTACCTTTTTATTTATATTAAATATTATGTTAGAACTAAACCATGGAGGGTATTTATTTAAATGTTTATTATTTGACTTTAATGGCATGTGTGATTGAAAAGCGTTATATAGCGTTTGATAAAAGTAATCACAAGCAGAATCAATGTTATTAATATTTTCTAGAGTATTCCAATCTATTTTTAGGATGTAATTATAAAGTAGAGGGAAGTTGGCTTTTTTGAAATTAAATTGTTTGCTAGTATCATTCATAGGGAAAACTATTTTTTGTGCTATACTAACACTAAGATTTATGTTAATAGGGGGATGGTATTGATCAACCCTTACCAAAGGACTAACATCATGCGTTACCACTAAATCGACATCTGAATAAACTAAATCTAAGATTCCTCCAAAACTGTTTGTTATGTTATTATGTTGAGTTATATTACAAAAATTAGAAAAACTGTTTATTACAAAACTTTTTCTATCACCTAAACTATTATTAAATAAATTTGGCGTGTTAAAGTCCCCTAAAAGTACCAAGTTCCCATTGAGCCCATTTATCAATGTGCCCAGCAGATCAAAGAAAAGTTCATATTCGCCTAAGTTTATATCAGGAGGAATATACAATACAATAATGTACAGCGTTGTTTTGTTATTTGTAATTAAAACAATTAAGACATACTTACCTAACATTGAAATTTTTAGGTTTATTCAAATTATTGATCCGGCCGGATGTTTACAATTTAATTATAAACCCGGGTTTATAATTAAATTGTAAACATTTTTCATTTGATAATTCATCTGAATTCTGAAGCATCAGGGGCGTAGCTACCGCGGTATCAGCCGTATTAATGATACGGGGCCCCCGGATAGGGGGCCCCCGATTGGCTTCGACATGCGTAAGCAAAAAACATAATATTATTACCCACATGTTAAAAAAATTGAGGGATGAAATTAAATAATATCATTATTTAATTGTATATACTTCGATTTATTAAATTAATTAATTAATTTTCCTGAATACCCTCCTGTTCCAACGAGGCCGTGAACTCATACCTACGAATGGTTTCTGCCCGCACCTTTTCGCTATGCGTTGTCTGCGGCGCAGTCTGCGCATATTATTCTGTGCTCTGCGCCTCATACTAAGTCTGCTTTGCGTGTTATTATCATAGATTATATTAATAGCAAATTAGAAATAATTATTAGCGTTACAATTATTTCAAATGACTTACCTTTATTTTAAAATAGACCAAATTTTAAAATTTGCCTGCACATAAAAAGCTATATACATATGTATACATATGTATATAGCTTTTTATGTGCTTTTTATGTATATATACATATATATAATTTATTAAATTATAAAAAATTGGTACCTAAATGCCAAAAAACCCTAAATAATTTTTTTGCCAGCTACCCAGGTAGCACACTGACGTTTGCTGGCGTTTATATGACGTCTTCTGGCGTTTAAATGACGTTAGAAACGTCATTTCAACGTCATATAAACGTCAGCAGACGTCAGTGCACATGTGCTACCTGGGTAGCCACTGGTAAGCATACCTAATATTTTTAATTCGGAATAAAAATTTTCGTGACAATTTTGTGATACCATACACAAATATATTGAACATGTTTTCTAATGGAATCTTTTTTTTAATTCGCCAATAAATCGATATTTTTAAATCAAAAAGATATTTTTAATTCGAATGATTTGGACAGCCCTACTTAGAAGGTTGCCTACAAAGGTGTTCTTTGCTTTGCACATGATGCTGTCATTGAGTAAAGATGATGCTGTGCTGTCCAAATAATTCGAATTAAAAATATCACTTTGAATTAAAAATATCGATTTATTGGCGAGTTAAAAAAAAGATTCCATGTTCAATATTTTGGTAGGTATGTGATATTAAAAAATTGTTACTAAACTTTTTATTTAGAATTAAAAATATTAGGTTACTTAAAAATTCAGATAAATTATCAACTGAAAAATGTTTACAATTTAATGATATTCCCGGATAAATAATTTAAATAAACTTAAAATTTTAATGTTGTTTCTTAATTGTTTGAATTGCAAATAATATGGATTAGAAAAAATATATTTTTTTAATAGGTACCTACCTAAGTTGTTAATTTTTTTCAGATGTTTTCGATATAGCAAATTAGGTAATTTCTGATATCAGAAATTTAATTTACGATATCGAAAATTATTTTGTGATTTCAAAAATTAATTTTTGATATCGCAAATTAATTTTTGATATCAGAAATTGAATTTGTGATATCGGAAATTCAAATATGTGATATTATTAATTCACAATTAAAAAATACCTTGGCGTTCCATAAAATTTTAATCAAAGCTAAATTTCATATGGGACTTAACTGGTAAATTTTTACATTTATTTAAGTATTATATCCCCCTTTCCCCTAAATAGTCTCATTAGAAAAATGACCACATTTAAAAGTAAGTAATGTAAATAACACAGTTATGGATTTAAAAATGTTTATTTGCAAATAGTATCCTTAGGTACATTAGTAATTATTTAAAGCTAAATATATGTTTAAAACTAAAATATAATTTTATTCAAAATACACTCGCCGGCAAAAAAAGCGGCCACCAAAAATTGGCCAATATGTTTATTTCCTCAAGAACCGCCCATCTAATTTTGATGATTTTTTTAAAATTATTAGTTGACGTTTAATTAGGTACAATTTCATGGCAAAAAAATTTATTTAGATTTTATTAAAATTATTATAATAATATATATATTATTAAAATCTAAATATATATAGTATATATGTATAAAGGGTTCAAAAGTGATTAAAGTATTAAAATAAAAATCAAAATAAAAATATCTATGTACCATAGCATTACTGGAGTATGAGGCGCCATATGTATGTCCCATAATTATTTCATTTGATATATAAAATGTTTTGCAGAAAAAAAACATATACCTAAGTAAAATTTACTACAATTTTGCATATACATACAGTATGTCTACTTAAGTTGGCAACATATGGAAAACATATTTATTATTAATTTTAAGAAAAAAGTTATTCTTCATTAAAAGTTCAGCATGTTCTAAAATCAGATATAAATAAATTTTTTGTTGAACCTTTATAATCTGTGAAATTGATGCGATTCGAAAAAATATATAGGTAAATTAAAAATTTTTGTTTGTGTATGGTAATTATCATATACCTATAGGTATATGGTAATTATACATACACACACAAAAATCAAGAACATGTAGCGCCATCGCTCAGGGATTTTTCAAACTAAAAAAATGTTATATCAAATTTTGCATGGTGCTAAATTCAAAATATATATTTTTCTAAATCGTATCAACTTATATTTTAAAATTTATATACATATATATCCCAGACAGCACATATATCCATTGGACGTCCAGCGGACGACCATTGTACATCCAAACGTCCAAGGTAAGTCCATTTGACGTCCAATAGACATCTTGTGCTGTATGGGATATTATAGGCAAAATTGTAGTAAATTTTACTTATATATTTTTTCTGCAAACATTCTATATACCGTAAATACGGGTGACTTTGCACCCCGCGGGTGACTTTAACCCATTTATGAAAAATCTTTTCGCGCTCGATAAAATTAACATTTATAATTTGTTGGTCTAAACCTGTCAATTGAGCGATTCTATTGAGTATATATTACAGGAAAATCAGTGTTTTAAAGAAAGAAATGGGATTTATTACACTTTAAAATTGTATATATCGTATCAGTGCAAAACTCTTAGAAATACACGCGTTACAATTTCTATATTATGCGCAATCCATTGGAATGATGATCCTTGGTTAACTACAGGTCGATTTTTTATTTTTTTTATTGGTAATCCCTTGCAATAGATATATGTCGCTGCTAACACGTGTCTAATAAAAATAAAATATAATATTACATTCATTTTATACTGAAAAAACACTGTGAGACAAAGTAACCCGCAACCAGGGGGTAACTTTGCACACCCAGTTTTTAATGTTTATTTTTGAAACTCAGCCCTATGTAATATTATAACATAGTTATTATGAAAGAGCAACTCAAGACTCAAATTTTGGTATACAAAATATAATGTTTATGATTGTTAAAACCACAAAAATTTTAAGCTGAAGTTTGAAAGTGAGCCAAAGCCACCCGTGTTTACGGTATCGAATTAAATAATTATGGAACATATGGTGCCTCATACTGAAGATATTAAATATTAAAGAAAAAAACATTAAAATTAGATTAGCGGTTCGCGAGTAAATCAGCATTAAAGTTGTTGCCAATTTCTGGTGGCCGTTTTTTGCCCGTGAGTGTATAAAAAAACCTCGTAAAAAAATTTAACAATATGATCCATATTGCTATAGATTACTATTACATCTATAGCATTAATATTTTATTAATATTATTAAACAATTTTTTTAAAAACACAGGAAGCTTAATACTGTAAAAATAAAACGAAAAAGATAATCACCAACTAAAATACTTAGTTATTTTTTATTATTTACTTGGAAGTTAGATTGTTATTATCACCCAAGTTATTTATGCAACTAAAATTATATTCTTAAACAGAGTAAATAATATTTTTTATACAATTTGGTTTCATATGACTTAATTTGCGTTTTACTAGTTAACTAATAAATTACAAAGTATAAGTTATACTTTATTAATACTATTAAGGCAAAATTATTTTTGTTAAACATAAACAGAAATAGTTATTTATTTATTAGCTGCCAAACAATTAGTCAAATAATGTTTTACTTTATTAAGGGGTTGCCCTAAATACAGGGTGCAAAAAATAATAAAAAAAATCCGACAAGTAGTTTTTGGTACGGCGTAAGTGCGCCATTTTCGAGACACCCTGTATAATGTAAAATTGTTCCTAATTTTAAAGAATTTTTCCGGATAGAATTCATTATAAATTTAATTTTGTTTAAATATGCTATTTTTGTTATTTTCCCTGCTTGTTTTCAAAATCTAAAACACAATGTCATAAAGAATAATTTTTGTGAGAAATTTTAGATATTTGTAAATAACTTATTTATTTAAAATAAGTATTTTTTGTTTGATTTCACACCCTGTAAATGTGAATGGAAGATATAAAAAATTTCTTCAGATATTTTATTAAAATATTCGGAAATGATCAATACAGCTTGCAACAAGACTTGTACTTGGTATCCTATGTACAGGTATCTTTTTTGTTAAGAGAAAAGTTGCGTAGTAACAAGTCTATACAGGGTGCACCATGTATCCTTCTATGGGTATTTTTTAAATTTTAAGAGCTACAAGGGCGACTAAATTAGAAAAAAGTTGCGTAATTACAATTCTATTAAAATGTAATTTATAAATTGGAAAAAAAGACAAAGGTTTTTAAATATTTAAAAATCACTAAAAACCTTTAAATTTTATTTTCATCATAAACTAAAAATAAATAACACCATAAATAAATATTGTATCCGAAAAAAATCCTTAAACTTGTCAAAAATTACTTTTCTTTTAGCCTAACCCCTTTAAAGAGGTTGGATAGTCAGATCAAACTCCAAATGATAAAAATTATGTACAAAATTGGAGTTTTTTTCACCTACTCATAAATAAAGTAAAAAAAAAATATATCAAAAAAAAAAAATTTGTTTCAAAGATTTTTTGAAAGCTTACATGTACCCAAATAATAATTGTTTTATGGTTGCCATGGGTTATGATATTGACCTCATAAAGCTCCCAAAGTGAGTTCATACTCAACATATAATTAAATTATTACTATTATTATTTAAACAAAAATTACCAGTTAGAAGACGAATATATCTAAAAATATATAAAACTACGCGTTGCTATATCAGCTTAGTACCTCAAAAGTGACTACCCAACCTCCTTTAGCAAAACCCAAAATTATGATTAAATTATATATATGTAACAGGTGTTTTTGGGTTATTCAGTGGTAAGATTAAATACCGACTGCGTATCTAAAACGTCGCTGCTTAGGAAAATATTACTAGAAGCACTTGTTTGACCAAAAAGGTTATGGCTAAAGGGAAAAAAGCTGTTGACTTTTTTTAACAAATCCATTTGCTCGTCGATATTTTTCAAATATCGACCATTCGCATCGGCTTGGCCGTGTCGTAAATTTAATATTTCGTTTACCAATATGCGGTTGTAGAGATCCAAAACAGGACGACCGCCATTTTTTATTTCCAACTCGGGAAGCCAACGGAAGTAGCACTGCGACCATATTTCTAATGAGGAAATACCGTGTTTAACCTCCAAAATTTGTTGATAATTGTCCTGGTAAAGCGGATTTGCAAAAAAGATGAGGTCTGATTCAGAAAACTGCTCCCTCCAGTCCCAAATGCTTCGTAACACCAGTTTGGAAGCGCCATTGGTAGTACCCTATTATAATTTTAAAACATAAATTAAAAGTGAAATTTCAAAAGAAATTGTTGTAGCAAATAAGAGTTTTAGTATTTAAAAAGTGAAGTATTTATATTTGAATGAATCTTTTTGCATCTTGCATTGATTTATAAAAATTTAAAAACAAACTACCTGGAATAAATTATATTTAATAAACTATTAAATATATTATAACAAAAGGTGGTAAAAACTTAAAAAAAAATGTTGCATGAACATAATGCAAGAAATGATTTAGGAACCCTGGCCAACATTGAACCTTTTTTTAAGAAAAGGGTCATAAAAAGTTGGGGAAAGCTTTAAAAAGATTAAGCTTGAAAAAAATGTACAAAAATACTATTGATTACAATGATACATTTTATAATAAACTTGACAATGTCAATTGATTGATTGTGGACAATGTTAAATTACCGACAAATTTACTGGAGAAAGGAACAGAAGGAATATTTGACACTTATTTTCACGTGTATCTAATAGTGTATTAAAATAATTTATTTTAAAGTTGTTGAAGTTATTTTCCATATAGCAAATTAACATATATAATTTTATGGATATGGATATTCTGATGGATATACGCGAATTTCTAATGGACATATACATGGATATACATATTTTATACAAGTGTTCCAGAAATCCATAGTATGTCCATGAGGTATATCTAATGTATGTTCCTGGATGTCATACATGAGGATATGCATTCCAAAACTCGGCTTATCCATAGGTGATTTTAAGACAAAAAGTCAAAAACCTTACTGAGTACTAATGCATATCAGTCTGTGATATCTGAGTACTAATGCATATCAGTCTGTGATATCAGGCCTACATAATATTTTAAACGAAATAAATAGGCATAAGTATAAAATTTATATACTTTGATTAAAAAGATATAGCTCCAATTTGAAATAATTTAAAATTATAAGCCAGTTTTGACATGTTATAACCTATAGATAAGGGAAGTTTTGGAACGATAGTCAATTTGTAAATGAATTTTAAATGGAATAAGGTGAGTTTTAGAATATTATGCACTTTTCAGGGTATAGGGGGCTACATGCTAAATGTACAGTAGGGTGAGCCAAAAAAACTAACCTATCGGATTTATGGGTTAAAATGAACCTACATACCGAGCAAAAAATTTCCCTGCAAGGCAAAATTTTTTGCTCAATTTTAAAAGGTGTCGGTGAGCATTCTAAGTTTTCCATTGAAATAACACGTAAAAAAATCTTTTTTCATTAAAAAGACTATAACTTTTTAACCGTTTGAGATAAAATTTTTTACGTCGCGGATTCTTGTAGAGCATAAAATTTCCCAAAGAATCTATACCATTAATTAATAAATAATAATTATTATTTTTTTTAATTCAAAAATTCTTATGTTTGAAAGCTTTGAAAAGTGTAAAAAATCACTAAAACTGCAGTTTGTAGTGATTTTTTACACTTTTCAAAGCTTTCAAACATACGAATTTTTGAATTAAAAAAAATAATCCTACCATACCAAATATCTAAAAACTTTTAAGATTTATGCTTCATATGTGACGCGGTACGATAAAACCAACCTTAGGTCTAAAAATTAAATTTTACAGGATAGGCGATAGAAGTTCGCTCAGCAAAAAGATCGTGTACCAATTTACTTAAATCAATCATAATCTTAAAAATCTTTTTTTGAACTTAAGGTTCGTTTTTTCGGAGCGCTTCACATATTTTCAAAATGCAAATTTGCATTTTCAAAGTGCCGAATTTGATACGTTAAACTACTAAACTTAACTTAAAACTTAAATTATTTATTGTTTAGTGGAAATGGAAATAGTTAAAATTTTTGGAAATAAAGGAAACATTAAAAAATACCTATTAAAATAAAGGTTTACACATTTGTCAATAATTTAAATAATTAAAACATCATACAAAATGGCAGTGGCGTGCATACAATACAAGCAAAAAAGCACTGCCTACCTTGGAATAATTAAAATTTACTTATTTTTTTAAATTTAATGTAGGTAAACCTACATAATAAATAATATTTAATAATGTAGGTTTTGAATATTTAATAACATATTTATTAACCCATTTATAGGTGCCTTTACTTTTTCCATCTATTGTATCAATGTGATACTATCACGGTGAAACGCAGATTCGTTTTACGTATAAGCATCGCATAGAATAGATTGGACAAGCACAAAATCTTATTTCGTATTCACACGTACAGCAGTTTGCAAGATAGATAGATAGATAGGATGGTGCGCATAGATAGATAGATAGATAGGATGGTGCGCATGTTGGGCGGGGCTTAAATATGTCACTTGATGAGTGTTTTTAATTCTTTAACGTGCTTTTTAATTATCTGCTGCTAAAATTCTTGTTTTTGCGATGCTGTTGGATGTTAACTTGCTCTATTTTTTGTTTAACTTGTTGTTTTTGCTTTCGGTAAGGTTCGAATTACTTTTCAGTGTTCAAATTATTGTTATTGCGTTGTGTTAACCTGTTCTGTTTGTTTATTATTGTTTTTGTGTTGCGTTAACTTGTTTTGTTTGTGTTTTAGTTTGTGTCGTACCATTTGCATTTATTAAAATGCGGTGTGGCATATTTGGATGCAATTCAGACAACCAGTCCAAGAAAAACCCTTTAAATAAAAACATTAAATTTAATCGATTCCCTAAAAACTTTGATTTGTGGAAACAGTGGTTAAATGCCACAAAAAGAATAGACAATATTAACGTTAAGACCGCTTTTGTTTCCTATAAACATTTTCTGGACAGTGGCTATAAGTTTAATTTAAAACACCAAGGCTTAAACTACAGCCCTAAATGTTATCAAGGACTAAAAGCATCTATTATCCATATTATAAAACTTTCTTCAATATTAAGTTTAATAAAAACGCACTATGTCCAGATATTTCTTTATTTTCTTTGATAATATTACTATTATTCGTGTATTCGCACGGCCACTACTCATCAAGTAACGTCATGCGCGGCATGAACCAAAACTCGTACATGGGAGCATCCAGCACTGAGCAGTTTGAAAAAATGCTTTTATGTAGGTGGGGGGAAAATCCACACAAAATTGTGGGTGGGAGAAAGAAGCGTTTTCTTGGGTGTGGCTGGCGATCAGCTGTTTGATAAAGTCAATTTTAATATTTTAATAACCTAAAATTATTAAAAAATGGATGTGTTGAAAGGTTATTAAAAATATCGTTTTACAGTAAAACATTTAGTGAAAAACAAAAAGTGATCGACATTTGACTGCCAACGCCAAATTTAAAATTAATTCAACAAAAAACGACAGTAAAATATTTTAATATTAAGTTTAATGATAACTGTAAGTGGTTGTGTGGGTGTGTCCATAATAATAAAATGTACTGTTGGCCCTGCTTACTATTTTCAAAACAAAAAAATGTGTTTAACATGACTGGTTACACTGATTTAAATAATTTTACAAATGCTACACAAAAACATGATCAGTCTACTAATTACTTAAATTGTGCACTTTGTGCCAATTTCGGGAAGAGATTAAAAGGCATAATGCAAAGGTAGATAGAAATCGAAACATAATGCATAACTGACTTTAATAAAAATGCCTACCTTGGATTTAATGGCACTGCACGCCACTGCAAAATGGTATTCAAATAAGAGGGCCAAATTTTTTTAATTACGAAACAAAATATAAAACAAATGCCCCTATGTATCTGCTGGCAGTTATTTTAAGTAATAGTAATTGGCCACCGAGATTTTGTGATCTGACGCCTTTCTCATTTTCCTGTGTCTACTCCAACAATCCCAAGAACTTAAAGATGAAATTCGACGAGTTTTTTGCGACCTTAAACGGAATACACCGTTTATGTGCAGTGAATATACCGTCAATTTGTGACATTTGTAGACGGTAATTAAACGGTGAACTCACGCTGTTTTTGCGATAAATTCACGGTGATTTTACGGTAAATTCACGGTGAACTCACCGCAAATTCACTGTCAATGTACCGTAAATTTATCGTGAATTCACCGTAAAAGCGCTGTGGGTTTACTGTGAAAACATCGTAAATTACTGTACAGTACCACGTGGTAATGTAAATAATAAATTATTTTAATTGTTTGTAAATGGTTGTTTACTTTTTAATAAATAGTAATTTTGTTGCTAATAGACGGTATTAATAATTAAATAAAAAATTAATAATAAATATTAAGATTTTTTTATTTATAAACATTATTAAATAAATAGTTTGTTTATAGGTACTTAAATATTGATGAAGCGCATTTATTTTACAAAAACTAAATTCACAAGTTTATCATTAAAATTTAAAGGGTTTATAAATTTACCTGCCTACTTAAACATTATATTGTTATTCTGGAAGTTATAAACTACCAGTACATATTTAATAAACGACGACATTGAAAAGCCAAGTCCGTAGTGGTTCCATTGGCCTTGAGTTCACGGTTTATTCACGATGAATTCACCGTGAATTCACTGTGAATTCACCATGAATTCACCGTGAATAAACGTCTTTGAAAAGTGCGCGAATTCGCCGTCTAACTACCGTTTACAAATGTCACAAACAGACGGTTTATTCACGGTGAATTCACGGTGAATTCACGGTGAATAAACCGTGAATTCAAGGTCGCAAGGGCTCGAAAAAGTGGTGGAAAGTCGATGAAGATAAAGAACATTGACTGGTATAAGGAATGATGATGTTAATGGTGATGAGGATAATATTGAACCCAAAAATATTATTTAATAAAATGTTTGTTTTGTTTTACTTAAATAAACATCTCCAATATTTGTAAATATTTTAAATGTTTCTTAAGATACCTATATCCAAAAAATTAATCATAGCTTCAAATTAATAAAAAATGTATGTCCCGAAAAATAATAAACGATTATAATTCTTACACTTTCAGCCATCATCCTTTGATGGTCGTTGTTGAAGATGAACGTGTCGAATAGCGTAATGTGCGCCGAGTCCCACAAAGTGGTTAGGTACGTTTCGCTAAACTGAAATGCGGCGGGATGCTGAAGCTGCAGCTGCCACACGCAGTCGAGGAAGAGCAGAAAAAACGGAGCCGTCTCCACATCTTTGTCGTGTATATGGCCCAGTCGGTAGGCGAACGGATGGCCCAGCGAGACCCACTCCTTCTGGATCAGCGACTGGAAACCCGGTTTCGTGCGGAAATACGGGTCAAGTATTATCTGGCACAGGCTCGAAATGATGCAGTTTGTATCTTGGCCGTTGCCTTAGAAAAAAGGTAATAAAATGTATTAATTTAAGTATAATAAGACGGGTCTGCATTCTCGCAAGATTAACTAACAATTTTTAAAACTGATATTTTTAATCGAAACTAGCGTTTGTTTTTAAATAATTATATACCTACATTCTACTTTAATAAATCGTCTTTTATTTAATCTAATAATTACTAAATAATCTTCAAAAGCTAGAATTTATTTAACTTAACAAGTTTCGGGTTTGGCCGAGATTAGAAAAGAAGCCGAATAGTCGGTTCTGGTTTTTGCTGAAAATCGTATTTCAGAATTAAATAAAATTTTAGAGAATCTTTTGTGTATACGAGAATAAATTAATTAAAATATTTTAGTTTTAAAAATTATGCGTTAATATCTTGTTTCATAAACTCTGGTTTGTAAATTAGTGCAAAGATAACTCTGCTTAGGGTATAATAAAAATGTTGAAAAAATTGGGCGGAAAAAAACTTAATAGGAATAGGAGGATATGGTTTTAACATTAAATATAATAAAATAAATTATACATAGTTTTAAAAGTTATGCATCACATGTACAATACATTTTTTATTATTTCTTCCTGCAACCTATGTAGCCATTTTAATGTAACTAACTAATAATCATCTAAGAGCATTAAGTACATATTTTACAAAATTATATTCACTCCAGTTTTCATCGCTAATATTTTACTTAATAATTGACGAAACTAAATTAATCGGAGATTTTAAAACGACATAGTTTTTTAAGAGCAATATAAAATAATAACAACATAAATTCCGATAAAATAAAAAATATTTATTCATTATGGAGAATGGTTGATGACAATTGTTTTAAACACGATTTCAAGCATATTGCCTATTTTATATGTAGTAAATTACTACTAGTAATAAATATTGTAGTATAAGCATGTACAATATGGAAATATATAGAAATGCATACCCTAGACTTTCCCTAATAAAAAGTAGACGAATGGCGTTAAATTACACAATCTCAGTGTTTAAGACACTGGTCTATCCACTATGCGTTTCGCGAATTGAATAGGTCCCAAATTTCAAAATAAGTCGAAAGATGCTAAAGCATTTTTTTCTGGTTAAATTCTGTTCATAATGGTTTGCCGGACATTACTGAACATAAATATAAAAATATTATTAAAAATGATAAATGATGACCCAATATAGGTCGAAACAGCTGTCTGTCGGTATTTAAAGTTGGTGGAACGCACTCGAAACAAAAAACTTTGGAGAGGTGAAGGTTCAATTCTTTCTTATGATTATTACCAGTAATTGGTCAAGAAAGTTTCTTGAAGAAACTAAGAAAATTGAATGTTTATATTAAAAATGACACACCAATTTGAGGGTTCTTCCCATTAAAAGATTTATTATTATCAGTCTTAAAACAAACAACCTTTATAAAATAGTATGTTCCAGGTCAAATCATATGTGATTTACTTGTCATATGACGTCTACATATGTAGATTTAAAATTTTGACCTTTTTGCGCATTATAGTGGCGTGGTTTTTAAATATTGCAAAACATTTAAAGGGCCTTTTTTGATTTTCTTTTGGACAAATATATTAACTCGTTAAAAAACAATTATTAAAAGTCATTTTTTTTAATTAATTAAAAAATGTTGATGGTTTTAGAAAATTTGACAATAATCGAGACAATAATAATAATTTTTTATTTAAAATGTTTTCAGTTTTAATATCACAAGAAAGTGGGAATAAATTAAAAATAATTTGACATATTTTTGAAAACCCATTACCAATTCGGTACCTTAGAATGACAAGGTTCTACAATATTTAATATTGTAGATAGGTCATTTTAGCTTAACAGTGCAGCTGTAGAACCTTGTTATTCTAAGGTAACGAAATGGAAACAAGTTTAAGAAAAGATTTGAGGAATTATTAATTTATTGATCTCTCTTATGGTATTTAATAAAATTTATTTATATTTATTATAAATGTAAAAACAATACATCAAATTATTTTCCCGGCAGCAATTTAAGTAAACTGCGCACCACTCAATGTGTCGAGACCAAAAAGTTCGTCCTTTTTCAAAACGACATAACTTTTTTGTTTCTTGAACGATTTTATTTTGGTCTGTGGTGTCTGCTAACCCCATCCTCTGGCAATTCATGCTATAGATATTAACCACACGGTTCTTCAAGTAAATTTCCTACAGGGGGATATGTAAAACGGTGAAAAATTTCAATAACTTCATCCAAGCCCCGTTTGTAAATCAATAATTTTTTTTTAGTTTTTTCTTTGAAATAATGAAGTATTATGTGTTACCTTGAAACGTTTTTCAAATTTTTCGAATTGGAATCTTAGCAACGAAAATATGATTTTTTTTCCAAAAGAGTACATTTAAGGCTTTTTGGTAGACAATATACTCAGTTTTTTTAAGAACAAGAAAATAAGATGGTAAAAGATGGTTCCTTGAATAATTCTGAACAAGCGACAAGCAACAAACTTCCATTATTTTCAGAGGGGCCTAAGCAAAGACCACTTTTTCAAAATGACATTTTGGTGAAAATTTGCGAAAACTAAACCTGAACCGATATTTACGTTCGTGACATGTTTTCTTCATAATTTAACTTCCTGATTGTGATTCAGTTGTCAAATTTAAGTTTCTGAAAAAACCAAATACATCAAGAATCAAAATTCGAAAACAATTCCCTGTTGTTAAATGTCTTAATAAAATCGGATTGCTGTCGTGTTTCTTGCATATTTATGATGAAAATGCCATTTGGGGATTCATTTTTTGGGCGAAATTACTGCAATTTGTTTGAGTGGTTAGGATAATGATACATAACTTACATTTACATTTCGCAGTAGTGATAACATCATTGATAAGTACCTACCTAATTGGTAATAAAGTTAAATAAAAATATTTTTGTTCATTTTTGAAAATTGTATGCATAGATATAATCATAATCAAAACTTCAACATTCAACAGAAAAATGTAACAAACAATAACAATAATACCTTTCAATATTTCGTTGGCCCTAACCTAAGCCGTAATAATTCGTTAACCCTCCTGGGTATTCCCTCGACCAATTTCCTTAGAAATTTCTGGGGTACCCCATTCTTCCTGAATAGCATTTACCAATTCATCCAAATTTTCCATGCCTCCTTCCCTCTCTTTCATTTTCAATTTTATCCTGCTCCACACATGCTCAATAGGATTCATATCCGGAGACAAAGGTGGCCAATTCATTTTTTCAATATGGTGGTCCCTTAAATACTCATTTACGATATGTAAAAAAACAGTAAAAACCAGCAATCGGATTTTATTGACACATTTAACAGCCGGGAATTGTTTTCGAATCTTGATTCTTGGTGATTTTGGTTTTATCTGAAACTTAAATTTGACAACTGAATCACAATCAGGAGGTCAAAATTATGAAGAAAACATATTACGAAAGTAAATATCGGTTTAGGTTTAGTTTTTGCAAACTTTCACAAAAATGTCATTTTCAAAAAGTGGTTTTAGCTTAGGCCCTCTGAAAATAATGGAAGTTTGTTGCTTGTTCAGAATTATTTAAGGAACAATCTTTCACCATCTTATCTTCTTGTTCCTAAAAAGACTGAGTGTATTGCCTAAAAAAAAGCCTTAAATGTACTCTTTTGAGAAAAAAATCATATTTTCGTTGCTAAGATTCCAATTCGAAAAATTTGAAAATCGTTTTAAGGTAACACATAATACTTCATTATTTCAAAATAAAAACGAAAAAAAAATATTTTTTTACAAACGGGGCTTGGATAAAGTTATTGAAATTTTTCACCGTTTAACATATCACCCTGTAGGAAATTTACTTGACCAACCGTGAGCTTCATATCTATAGCATAAATTGCCAAAGGATGAGGCTAGCAGATATCACCCTGTAGGAAATTTACTTGACCAACCGTGAGCTTCATATCTATAGCATAAATTGCCAAAGGATGAGGCTATCAGACATCACAAACTAAAATAAAATCGTTCAAGAAACAAAAAAGTTATGTCGTTTTGAAAAAGAACGAACTGAGTGGTGCGCAGTTTAGATTGTTTCCACTATAATAATATTTTAAATAGCTAAAACGTACACACATGACTGAAGATTCTATTGGTTTTTAAAACGTAAAAAAATAATTTAAAAAAATGTTTTTCTATTCGCATGCGCAAAGTAATGCTTATCCGCACGCGTTTGCGTGCGCAAAGTTGTACTTCTCCGCACGCTTACTTTCCGCACGCAAATTCGTTAATTCAGGAATAGGATTATTATATCATTAATCATTAATAGTATTTTTAATTAAAAAATATTGCCAAAATAATTCAATATAAAAATATAAGTAGCAACTTTCCGCACGCTTGTAAACAAAAATTAAAGTAAATATTGGAAACCGATAAATAAAATTGCGAGATTTCCTTGCTTATAGAAGAAATATTGTTCCTAAAATATGCGCAAAGTAATGTTTTCGCACTTACTGCTTGTTGAACTCCGCTTCGCGTCGTTCGTGCAATAATAGTTGCGTGCTGAAAAATATAACTTTGCGCACTTGTTAGGAAAATAACTATTTTAAAAGTGAGCTCTTAAATATACTTGTATGCCTCATTTTTTTGTTGAAATTTTGTACTTTTTGTTTTTAAATTTTTAAAAACACGCCACTTTTGTGTTTACCTTGTAGAAACCACAAAAATTAAATTTTGTATACCTTAAGTATTTTGGCACTACCCTCAAATTTTAAGAACATAGGTACAGGGTGATCCCCTATAATGTCGCCCCCCTTTAACTTTTTTATTTTAAGTTTCCCAAAAAAAATAAAAGTGTAGTTATGTGGGTACTAAAAAATACTTTTTTTCTATTGTATAAAAAAATTTAAATCTTATCAATATACAGGGAAAAACAAAAAGTTTATTTTTTTCACCCTATATATGAATTTATTTTTCGATTCCTTGTAAAATTCTGAGCATAATTCATATAACAAACCATATACCTAAATTCAACCGTTTCTGAAATATTCGCATTCGAAATGTCATCATTAAATGTTTTTTTAAACTGTTGGAAATTAAGAAGCCTCAGTATACCAAAATTTTTATTGAAAATAAATTACTATACGCTAAAGAAGTATCGGGTTTTCGCAACGCGCGCTCCATCTAGTGGACTTGGAATGCATTGCGTGAATTTAAGAATTGTCAACAATAAATTTAAAGCACCGATTATACATCATTTTTAAATAAATAGGTAGTTTTTTTACAAAAGACAGGAAGGTAGAAGTCTTACTCGACAAATTTTGTTCAATTGCACAGCTAAATCGCGCACGGTATTTGTGTTTTACGTTGCAAGGAAAAATTAAAAAACTTTTTTAGTACTCGATTTTGATTGATTATTCCTTATATCATTGATTAAGAAACTTAACGCTTAAATGCTTATATAGTTACGTTAGTATTTTATGAAAGGAATCATGGTGAATTATTGTGTTTTTAGTTGTAAAATAAATTCAAGAACTAAATCGTAACATTTCCATGTTTTGCCAAAGGATCCAATTCGATAAGTACATTTGTTGGTGCAGATTTAACTAATGATAACTCTACCTAATATAATTTATATTTAAGTTTGGACATTTAACCTTAAAATCAATCATTTTTATTTGTGAGTTCTCTAAAAAACGCCGACAACTGCATTTTAAACAACAAAATATACCTACGAATTCATGGCAACATAATATTATATACCTATAATACATAATATAATGGTATTTTACCGTTGAGTGGAGACTTTAAAGAATTCCTAATCAACGCTTTTAATAATGCTAAATGGTGTTTAAATTTAGACGATTTATTTGTTTGGCGATTTTTACTGAAATGAAATGTTTACACTTTACGTTAATCACTACTAAAATGTGTATTTATTTTATCTAATAGGTACAATTTATATTTACAGAGACTTTATGCAATTTATTTCTTCATTCAGATTAACACTGTTTATTGGATCCGGTTTTCGAAAACCGGTAAAAACTCAACCCAGGATTTCCTCTGGAAATACACCCAACAACACAACAAATCGATCCACGGTTTTTTTTTCGATATTTTTTAACATTTTCCGGCTTTATTCTCAAAAACACTCGTTTGTAACCTAAGCGTTTGACAGCTGATTATTAAAAGTTCTACTTTTGTTACGATGATAACAGCCGAGTGGTGGCGCTACTAGTGACATTATGTCAATATGTCTTGTTAAATAACTTATTATCTCAAAAATAATTTAAATATTTCAGAAACGGTTGAATTTAGGTACATTTATGGTATGTTATATGAAATATGCTTAGAATTTTACAAGGAATCGAAAAATAAATACATATACGTATAAAAAAGGTATTATTTAGTACCTACATAACCATACTTTTACATTTTTTGCGACACTTAAAATAAAAAAGTTGAAGGGGGGCGACATTATAGGGGATCACCCTGTACCTATATTTTTTATAAATTTAGATAAAACTCACCTTCTTGTAAAACAACAGTGGTAACTTTTTTATGAAGGCAATCGGCGGCCTCGACTGCAAAACCGAGACAAGTCGAAACTAATGCGAGCCACTTGGAATTATCGAGCAGACCGTACAACTTAAAATCTTGCCTTTTGAACATTCTGCTGCTGTCCGGGACGCATATATCTCGCAGTTTCAGGTAGCTGGCTTGCACGTCCTTGCTCGATATGCAGTTCAAGTTGATGATAATGGGTTGTTTCAGATCAGGGTGGCTTTTGCGAATGTGCTCAAAAAGCTCGTTCTCGTACTTGCTGTCGGATATTGCGGGTAACAGATCGGCCATTCGTACAAGAGCGGCACCTTTTGCGGTTCCCCACACCTTACAAAATGACCAAAAGATTTTATTTTTATTACATAATTAATACATTTTCTCGAAAATTGCAAATATTCTTACTTCGGGGTCGTCCATGAAGGACACCCAAGAAGCATTTTTGGTTCCAAAAACCATTACCAAAGTGGTGATAACTTTAAATTAGTTAAGTATACTAAACAGTTACTTTAATTTTTACTTAAAAGTAATTCTAACTTTTAAATAATAATATTTTGTAACAGAAACATAATTCTTTCCTTACATGGTTACTATAAAGTAATAAACATTTAAGTAAAACTTGGTTGTACCCAAGAAGACTTTGCAACTTTAAAAAAGGTGTTATAAGTAAACAAAACTTTTAAGTAAATTTAATTTGTAGCAGTTACTTTCGGTTGCTACCTAAATATTAAATATAATTATTTTTACTTTTTAGTCCCTTTGCAAGTTAAAATCTCGAAACTGGAACATGAGTTAAAAACTTAAAAGTTATTATTTAAGTATTTGGAACGTTTATGGTACTAACCAAAACTACCGTAAAGTAAATTAAGGTGGAAAAAAACTTTAAAGTAGCGAAAACTACTTCAAAGGAAAATGCTTCTTATCGGCCATTAAATACTGTACAGTACCACGTGGTAATGTAAATAATAAATTATTTTAATTGTTTGTAAATGGTTGTTTACTTTTTAATAAATAGTAATTTTGTTGGTTATAGACGGTATTAATAATTAAATAAAAAATTAATAATAAATATTGAGATTTTTTTATTTATAAACATTATTAAATAAATTATTTGTTTATACTTAAATATTGATGAAGCGCATTTATTTTACAAAAACTAAATTCATAAGTTCAACAGTAAAATTTAAAGGGTTTATAAATTTACCTGCCTAATTAAACATTATTTTGTTAATCTAGAAGTTATAAACTACCAGTACATATTTAATAAACGACGACATAATAATATTATGAAAACGTAAAAAAGCTTCGTTGCCAGGTTGGATCGAATTTACCAAGTTCTTTTTAATGTTAAGGAAGTTTTGATCCAATTTTTTTAATCCAATTTAAAACCCAGCTTGTTGTCAAATATTAAAGGCTCTGGGAACAAAAACGGATTATAATTAGTGACGTCACCGCGTGAGAATAAGAATAAAATTGCGTTCACGCTAGCGTGAGACTAGACACAGCGAATTATGTTTTGTGTCATATCCTTATGGTTTTAATTTCGTGTTTTTCTGTGTTTAAATTTGCGTTAGCAGCAATCTATATATTAGTCTTAATCTAGATTATGAATAATATATAGATTGCCTTCCTTCCTTCCTTCCTTTCTCCCGTAAAAGATGAACAATACGAAAATCGTAGTGCCATTTACAGATTCCCGTACGGAAATCTATAAATGACACTACGATTTTCGTATTGTTCATCTTTTACGAAAGAAAGGAAGGAAGGCAATCTATAAATCAGGCTTTATGGATAATACCTTCCTGCACCCTCTGTGCATCTTCAGTGGACAAATTAGAGTATATATTAAAGACGTTTCCCGATCTATACTTATTCTTTCCATAATTGGGTGACAAACAAAAACAACAATTTGTTAAGAATATTAATTTTATGACAAAATAAAAATTAAAAAAAACCTTCACTTTGACATGTTTTGTTTAATTTTATTGTAAAAAATGTTTTTCCACTTCTGAAAAACAATTTTATTCGAATTCTATTTATTATATTAAGTTTATAGCTAATTTAAAAAACTTAAGTTTAATTGCAAAAAATCACCTAAATAAGATTAGGTTATGTTATTTAAAAACTTAGCAAATTAATAATTTCTTTATCCCCTCCACTTTATTTCCGACTTAATTCAAACTGATTCCCCCGCACAGCATGTGCAGTATCGGTGAGGGGGGAGGAAAAATCTCAGCTCACTTTATGGTGAGTGAAGCAAAAAGAACGCGCACATTTGCAAATTTTACCGTTGTGAGCTGAGATTAACTGAGATCTCAGGTGAAAAGAACGCACCTAATATTTGCTGCAATTTGTACCATTTCAATATTGACAATTACTTTTGATTGATTAAAAACTGACAAAAAAGCGCTCTGATTGGTCCACTTTTACAGATGGCAGGTAAAAATAATTGTCATAATATAATTATTAGTTAAAGGCCTTAAAAAAATAATTTAATGTCAAAAAAGATTTTTTTCAGTAAAAAAATATTAAAAATTATCACTAAAACTAAACTTGAAAATGTTATTTGATGTATGTATCAAATTGTCCTTTAATTTTGTCAATCAGCTAAATATGTTTTATATTTTTGTGTTACTTACCCATACTGGACAGAAACGATTGTTAAAATGCTCAACTGATTTGATCAAACTAAAGTCAGAAATTGAAAGAGGTACTATTAAAGATTGAGTAAGATAAGGTGATGTTTGGTAGTTTTGGTTGAGGTCTGAAATTCTCCAGTTTTCACACTTTGTTCTTCTTAATTCTCTGCTCCAATCCTCCTTTTTTCTAAACATGGTTACCTCTTTGGCAAGCTGTGGTGATTTAACATAGGGCTCTCTATAAACATAACAAAACATTTTAGTCTGCTTTTTTAAGAAATTAATTACTTACAAGTAATCATAAGCAAACAATAGAGAATGCCTTTTGGGATATGCATGGTGTATTAAAGCATTTGCAGTTGTTTTTCCACCGTCTTTTTCTGAGTCCTTGAAACTAAATTCAAAACTTCTCATATTCTGAAAAGAAAATGTAGAAAATATGTACAAAACCCAAATCTTTCATTAGTAATGTCTTGTTGCTAGGCCAATAATATGTCCAACAATGTTTGCATAATTGCCCACCTATCATTAAATTTACAAAATATGCATGTTTAACTAGGTATAAGTTTGGACAGTTTTGCCATTATTGATGATCATCTTATCGACAAAAATTTCTAAGCATTATAAATTTCATTTTTAGATAGGTTGATATAAATATCTTGTAACTAAATATAACTCTCCACATAATTTTAACTTATTTTTTTTGTAATTTAAGATATAACTGTTTTAGAGATATTAATTTAGGCTAGATATACATGACTGTCTTGGGATATCAAGGATTTTCGGCCAATTAAGGCACCATCATCCCAGAAAACATCTGACAAGTCAAGACAAAATCCTATTTAAAGATCAAAGGGAGAAAGTGTGATATTGTGACTGTAGACATCTCAACTGGATCGGTTGTTATGATTTTGCATAACATTTACATAAAAAAACGTATTATTTGGCAAATACAGAAATCCTGTTTAACCATCCACCTTATTCACCAGCCCCAGTGACTACTTGGTAACTAAATTTAAAAAAATGCATAACAAAATTTTAAAAAATGCCTCATTAGAAAATTATTCAAATGAAGAAACCAAACTTGAGAATGTCCTTTATTTAAAAGGTAATAAAATGTTAAAAGATCTCTGGACCCATTTTAATAAACTTGGTAAAGATTATATTATAACATAATATATATTATGTTCCCGCACAACAATCAGGATTTCGTGGTGAAGTCATGATGATATCACAACGCGATTTTTTTATCACAGTGATATCATGTAGAACTCACGGGGTGATATTTGCAAAATTTGCGCATGCGTATGAGTCCTGCGAACTGCGAATTTAAAACCTAGTTTGTTATTCACATTACACCGTTATAATTTATAAAACGTTGTTTGAATATCACGAATGTTGTCCGAGTTTAATTAAAAAAGATATTCCAATGTTTAACAATTAATTTTTTTTATTCAAAAACAGTATTAGTAGTCTTTTTGAATAAAAAAAATAATTTTTAAGGAATTAAACAGTCAACCACGATACCTAATTTTGCCAAATAAAAACCTTGTTAAACAGCTTTTGTTTATAACTATTTATAATAATTATTATTATGATTTGACATTAGTAATATAATAGAACAATGTTATTTTGTAAATAAAAACTCTCAATGTACGAATGTGGCGCAAAATAAATATCCAAACACGGATGGCATAAAAAATGACGACATGATTTTTTATGCCATCGGTGCACCGACATGTTTGGATATTTATTTTTGCGCCACATTCGTACATTGTGAGAAAATGTATGTTAACAATTGAATTAACAGTTTTTGCGGTTAAATACATTTAATATTTTCTTGCATGTAAATTAACTATTAATTTAAATCCAAAAAAATATTGAATGTATTTAAACACAAAAACTGTTGATTCAATATATGTATATGTAGGTATATAGTATAAGTATGTTAACAATTGAAACAACAGTTTAACATTCAATATTTTTTTGGATTTAAATTAACTATATATAGTTAGTGTACGAACGTAGCGCAAAAATGATTATCCAAACACCGTTGGCATAAAAATCACGACATGATTTTTTGTGCCATCGGTCAATCGCAAACAGCGATGGCATAAAAAATCTCGACATGATTTTCATTTCTCACGCAGTGACATCCGGATGATGTCCGTATGAATAAAATTTGTGAAAATCACGACGTGACGTTCGTATGATTTTCATTTATTACGCGGTGACTTCCGTATGATATCAGTATGAATAAAATTTGTGAAAATCACGACGTGATGTTCGTATGAATATGACGAATGTTGTCCGGGTTATAATATAATCTTTACCAAGTTTATTAAACTGGGTCCAGAGATCTTTTAACATTTTATATACATATATAGGTATATATATATAAATTATAATATTAAATAAATAAAATGATTATTATTAAATAAATAAAATGATTTTTGTCAAAAGAAATCATTTTTCCCTTGTTATGCTATGTAGTGTGTCAAATTAAGCTTGATATAAACATGTAATATTAGGTGTTTTCGCGGTGCTAATCCCGAACTAGTTCGGACATCCTAGGCATGCGCATTTTAATATTTGTCATGCGCACCCAAATTTTAAAAAGCGCATGCCTAGTATATCCGGAATTAGTTCGGGATTAGCTCCACGAAATTAGCTATTATTCAAAGTGTCAAAAAGTCAACTAAAACGAGACATAACAAAAGAATATCAGGTAGGTATCTTAAAAATGTAATTTTAATATAGGTAACTGCTGTATAACTGCAGTTACACATGTCTTAAGAATGTCAGTAAACTTATATACCTTGCTTAAATTAACAGTTTCACACATATTTCCTATTTACATTACCTATAGGTAATATATTATATATATAAGCTGGGTAGCTTAAATTCTTTAAGAGCTAATTAGTTAACTGTTCTTAAATGTCAATTTAAGCTAGATATATCTGTCAAAGCCTTGCACTCTAAGGGCTGCATTAGCATAGTTAGGTTAAATTTCAGTTAGTTTATCTGGCAGAAAATTTTCATGTATTCCGTAGGTTTGTTTCTAACCATCATTAATTTGGGGTTTCACGGACATGCGCAATACCAAAATCGCATGCTCAATATGAAAATATGATCGCGATTTTACTTTTTCGCATTTCCCTGAGGCCAGTATGCCAGCTCCAAAAAAAGTTGATTATTTTTAGCGTCACCAAATTTATGGGTAGCCCCTTACCTATAGATACATACCTATATCTAGCTTAAGTTGATATTTTTAAGTTTTATCTAGACTAAAATTTAATTTTTGGGTTGTTTTTTAAACCCATGGATAATTTCTATAGATTACATTTTATAAATTATTTTTTTAAATAAAAAAATACTAATCTAAATCTGGCATAATAGATGGACTTCAATTTACTGTGATTAGTAATAATTAATTGAATTTAATTGTAATTACTTTGCATATAATTAACAATTCTTTTATTTTTCCTGATATATTTTGTCCTGGAATCAGTTTTTTCTTGGTCCGTTCACCAGTTTGATAAATGGTAGCGATTGATGATAAACAAATATCATTCATTCCTAGCAATAGATTTTGCTGATGAAAATTATCCAATCCATTATCAGAAGCACATGCAAAAGATAATTTAAAGGTAGTAACAGTCAAAATTCCATAAGTCCCCTTTTTCTTATCACTGAGTGTATTAAATAACATAACATTATTAGCTGTAGAAACGGTTGTTTCTCCATCAAGAAGTTTGGTTTGTTGTAAATCGTTGAGTTTTATTGTCTAAAAAATGCTTATAAAAGAACAATTCTTTTGAAATATTAAAATATTTACCTCTAAGCCACTTTCATCAAGATAACTTTTAAATCCTGATTCTTTCAGATCAGTCATAATTACACAAATTTAATGTTTAATTTTTTAAAACTGATTTTATCCCATATTTATCTTTTTTATTGATTTATAAAATATGTATTTATAAAAAATTATAAATTTCAGTTTTAGGTTATATTATTTATGTACAAAATTTTCTAAAGTTGGCTGCGTTGTTTTAAGACTGTCAAAACCAGACGTCAAAACTTGTATACAACCCATATTTTAGGTTATGTTTGGTGGGTGCAAAGATGAAAACATTTAAATTATATGATAAAACACTGATTATTTTTCTTTCATCATTTAATTTTTGTATTGGTTATTGTAATTTGAGTTAAGTTTAAAAGTAAAATGGTTAAGGATTCATCAATATTAATTTTAACAAGGTAAATATAATTATTTTAATATAAAGTGCAAACTACATGTAAATATTAACCAATTTTAGGCCAAGAGCTAATGACGGTATATGGTTAACCCTCCTATTACCAATTTCGATAATAACATCAACTCTGACACATCCTATTGTCTTAACACCCACTTACAAATTGGTTGCAGTTTTTTGTGTGGGGTTAATTAGTACATCATTAGTATTTTATTACCAATATTTAAAAAAAGAGCCACTTCAGTTGTTGTCTTTATGGCATGTACCATCAATAATATTATCAGGTTTAATATTTAACCTTTACTTAAATAAAGGTAAATAATTGGTAGCTTTAGATATAGGTTTGGATTGTGGGTGTTGGTATGGTTTCCAGATGTCCGGTATTATACCGGCAGTACGGATTTTCTACTTCTCATGCGGTATAAAAAAAATTGAATACCGTACCAAATTTTTATATTTTATTTTAGCAATAACAAATGTGTAATAAAAAAACGTGATTTATATTGGACAATTTAAAATTAAATCAATAATCGAATGCATTGGTATAGCCACCCCGCCACATGATTTTAGATGATATTATTGATATCTACGAATTTTCAGCCATACCCGGACAATAATTGGGATTTCCTGGTGAAGTCATGATATCACAACGTGATTTTTTTTATCGCGCTGTGATATCCCGAGTGCATACACATGCTTCATAACAGTGATATCATGTAAAACTCACGGTGTGATATTTTCAAAATTTGCGCATGCGTATGAGCCCTGCGAACTGCGAATTTAAAACCTACCCGGACAACATTCGTGATATTCATACGAACATCACGTCGTGATTTTCACAAATTTTATTCATACTGATATCATACGGAAATCACCGCGTAATAAATGAAAATCATACTAACGTCACGTCGTGATTTTCACAAATTTTATTCATACGGACATCATCCGGATGTCACTGAGTGAAAATGAAAATCATGTCGTGATTTTTTATGCCATCGCTGTTTGCGATTGACCGATGGCACAAAAAATCATGTCGTGATTTTTTATGCCAACAGTGTTTGGATAATCATTTTTGCTCCACGTTCGTACAGTAAGAGAAAAATTATGTTGAATCAACAGTTTTTGCGGTTAAATACATTCAATATTTTCTTGGATTTAAATTAACTATATATAATTAATTTAAATCCAAGAAAATATTGAATGTTAAACTGTTGATACTTTTTCTTTCAATGTACGAATGTGTCGCAAAAATGAATATCCAAACACCGATGGCATAAAAAATCATGTCGTGATTTTTTATATCATCGGTGTTAGTATATTTATTTTTGCGCCACATTCGTACATTGAGAGAAAAAGTATACCTACATATCGATGACTTTCTGCCAAAGTATCGCAAGCAACAGAACTGAAATTTCGGGAGCTAAAAACAATTTTTGTTTTAAAGTCTGTTTTAAATTAAAGGTTTAAAGGTTTTATAACAAGTAAATAGCTTATAATTATATCTATTTACTTTTTATTAACCCTACAGGTTATATATGGTTTAAAACAGACTTTAAAACAAAAAAAATGTTTTCAATTCCCGAAATTTGAGTTAGGTTGCTTGCGATACTTTGGCGAAAAGTCATCGATATATGTATATTGAATCAACAGTTTTTGTGGTTAAATACATTCAATAATTTTTGGAAATAAATTAATAGTTAATTTACATCCAAGAAAATATTAAATGTATTTAACCGCAAAAACTGTTAATTCAAATGTTAACATACTTTTTCTTTCAATTTACGAATGTGGGGCAAAAATAAATATCCAAACATGTCGGTGCACCATAAAAAATCATGTCGTGATTTTTTATGCTTTCGGTTTATTTTTGCGCCACATTCGTACATTGAGAGAAAAAGTATACCTACATATATATTAAATCAACAGTTTTTGTGGTTTAATACATTCAATATTTTCTTGGATTTAAATTAACTATATATAGTTAATTTAAATCCAAGAAAATATTAAATGTATTTAACAGCAAAAACTGTTGATTCAACATAATTTTTCTCTTAGTGTACGAACGTGGCGCAAAAATGTTTATCCAAACACCGTTGGCATAAAAAATCACGACATGATTTTTTGTGCCATCGGTCAATCGCAAACAGCGATGGCATAAAAAATCACGACATGATTTTCATTTCTCACGCAGTGACATCCGGATGATATCAGTATGAATAAAATTTGTGAAAATCACGACGTGATGTTCGTATGATTTTCATTTATCACGCGGTGACTTCCGTATGATATCAGTATGAATAAAATTTGTGAAAATCACGACATGATGTTCGTATGAATATCACGAATTTTGTCCGGGTAGGAATGATACATATCCAAAAAATGGGATTGATTTACGCCTGGCCACTGAGGGGTTCTGGAAATTAGCGGGGTTGCATATAATGAGTACCCTCTACACAGTGGTGCACTTCTTTTCTGTGGCGCTTATTGATTTTTTTTCTTTATTAAATTAACCAAAAACATTTTTTATAACTACGGTAATGGGAGTCCGAGCTCGACTCCTCGTCACATTGCATTACCTTTACATTATATACCAATTAGTGGGTCAGTGCTTAGGTTGCAATAATTCGTACGGCGCACCACATTTACCTAATTTAAAGGAATAGTGAAGAAGCCAGAATGTTTTCCTTAAATACCACCAAATTATGAAGATTATAATTAATTTATAAAATTAAATTTTATTTTAATTATTTAAGTAAAATGTAGAAACTTTTTATTAACCATGACAACCTCATTGTTTCTGTAACAACTATTCTTAGATGTGGAATTTTGAGCTCATGAGAAGAAACATTTTCAAGATAATTTTTTAATAACTTGTTAAAAAATTGTAAATGTATTTATGCTTAAAATAGGTAAAGTTAGTGCACGTGGACACCTTGTATGATATCAGTATAAGCCTATGTAATACCAAGGGGTCAACCACTCAAAGGGAAAACGTCCAGGGATTCCCATGTATTCCCAACTGGTCATAAGTATTCCTATTGTATTTCTATGATATTCCCTCTTAAATGTGACCCGGGATTTCCAGGGGTTCCGGCAATGGGCGCGGTGGCCACCCTATACCAATTGCATATGATAAGTTTAACTGTAGCGGTGCACTTCTTTTTTGTAGCGCTTATCGATTTTTTTCTTCAAAAAATATATAAAAACCTTGCAATGTGAAAAAGAGCTATTTGGTTTTATGTCGACTATAAAATTTCGTTTAATGTGAAAATGGTCACTAGACATTAAACGAACGTTTATAGAGAATCTAGAAACGATCACATGCCCGTTAATATTGCCGGCTCTTCTACTATAATAGGGTATATTCGGGTTTAGTTAAGAATTAAACTAAAACATTCCTATTTTAACGCAATAATCCTTATAAAAAACTGCCTATTTAGTAAAAAGTATTTACCACTTACTTTTATTTTAGATTTAATTTTTTCCATTATAAGTGCATTATTTTGCACCCTTTTTTATTACTACAAACTGAAATGGACTTTACTTAAATTTCCTCATAGTTTTACAATTGGGGAAGCATGTTTAATTGCCCAAGCTTTGGTGTTAATATTGTTTTCCACTGCATTAAATTTGCTCAGTCTATCAAATAAGGTTTTTATAAGTAATATGCAAGTTTCCACACTAATTATACAGGTAATATTATATATTTTCTGCTTTAAAACCTTAAATAAACAATATTGTTATAGGTTGGCTTATCTGGAATTGGAGTAATAGCATATTCTACAAATGTGTTTAAAATTAAAAATGTAATATTTTTCTATCTCATTTTTGTGACAGTAGTCATTATGGGTGTATTATTACCTGTTCATATAATTTTAAAAAGAAGTCCAATACTATGGATATTGGAATTGATGCTGTATGACATTTCTTCAGTAAGAAATTTTTTTTAAATACCCACTATTCTCATTTATTTTTATATTTTTAGATTAAGCTTATATCTTTTTGGGTAATTTGCAGTTTGGTGGCAGTAATAGCCGTCCGAAATCAAATTTATTTTAAGGAAAAGGCCACCACTAGTCAAAGAAAAGTTTTTCATATTCTTGCCGTTTCGGTTTTTGTTCCTGGATTAATATATAAGTGTTCATTTTTATATCTTGCTAGTGGAGTTGTTTTAGGAATATTCTTTTGTTTAGAAGTAAGAAGCTTATAACAATTATGTATTAAGGTCGGACTCCTTGCCGGACAATATGAAGAAAAATTATGCATTTTTTTTTAAATAATAAAAACATGCACTACATCGACTTTTTCTCTTTTTATTAGAATACTTTTAAAGGTCTATCAAACCAAAATCGAAAGCTAATGTATCGTAGGAAGAAAGCCTTTAGAGCGTACTTTTTCATATACCCAAGCAATCTGACCTTAATTTTTTGCGCAATGCATATTAATGAATTACCTTGTTAGGAGTATTTCTTGGTATTTCTTTCAGATATTAAGAATTAAAAATATTCCACCAATTGGGAAATACCTTCAAGACGGATTTTCCGTGTTCAGCGACGAAAAGGACTGCGGAATTGTTGCATTCACCCCGATTTATCTGCTAACTGGCTGTGCTTTGCCACTATGGATTCACCCAGCACCCTGCGATCCGACAGACTCGGCCAGCTTTAGTTTGTTGCCGCTTTTAAGTGGGGTTTTGACTATCGGAATTGGGGACACTGCTGCCAGTGTTATAGGGTCAAATTATGGAAAACATAAATGGAAAGGTACATGTTCCTTTTTTATCACTATAAGAAAGTATCCTCTTTGGGGTTTTCATGAGGAGCATTAATGCTCGCCATAGATATTGAGTAAGGGGGATGGGAGGAGGCGCACCTAAATTCGAATATATGTGCCTGGAGAATGATCTTTTATCCTTTTTTAATTAACATTGTAGTAGATACCGGCTTTTATCTTACCAGACTGACTACTTTTTTCACATTAGCCATTGATTTTTTTAAATGACTGAGCAGTGGCGGCTGAGGTCAGTGATAGTAGGAAGGCCTGTAAAGTACAAGTGGTGTTAAATTTTTCTAGAGGCATTCTTCATTTTTTTAAACTATTCTTAAATGTTTAAACACATTTCAAAAACATAACAAATGCAAATTAACAATATTACATGTGACGCGCTTCGAGAATAGGTTTCAGCTCTAATCTTAGAGGAGAAAGGAAAAAAAGGCGAGCGCGCTAGACGGCAGCACAATGAATCAAGTACATGCAAAATATTCAAGATAATTTTGTTAGACTTCAGATAATTAAAGAGCAGTCTTTAATTAATCTATAACGATCATAATCTAGAAATCGGTTTTTGGAAGCTTAAGACACCTGGACCTGGAGGCTTGGCTAGGTAAGGCTGAACTCCCTATGCAGTGTAAAGCTTATAATAAGCCTTACCTTACTTAAATTTAAAAAAACTCAATGGTGCCATAATAAATATATCATTCCATTTGAAAAACATAATTTATGGTTATTTAAAGGTTTTTCGTAAAACGTGTCCATTTTGAGCAGTCAAACCCATCAAGTTTGGTCTCTTCTCGTTCTTTGATATTAGAGAACACTGGTAGCTGATTTTGTTCGAGAGCAATAGTCTGCATTTGCATTTGCTTTTGTTGTTTTGAATGTCACTTCATAATCAAAATTTCCAAGAAAATCAGCGTAATAAGCCATTCGACTGATTCATAATAAAGGAGCTTCCAATGACGGACATAAAGGTATAAAATGAATATTTGCTCGGCCCAAACTACGGCCAAGGCTCTTTGTCGATCTGGGGGTAGCGTTGTTCGGTGGCGTTCATCGTTCGACTTGCGTAAGCAATAGGTTGTTCTTTTCCATTGTTGAGTCGCTGTGAGAGGACAGCGCCTAATCCTGTCTTACTAGCATCTGTAGCTAAAATCAGGGGAAGCTCGGGGTTATATGGCATGAGTACTTGAGGTGAGGTAAGTATCTCCTTTATGTCTCCATAGGCTTTTTCTCCTTCATTTGTTCATTGAAAGGTTTCTTTCAAAAGCATGTTCCGAAGTGGTCTGTCCTTGGTAGAGAGGTCTGGAATGTATGCACTGTAGTAGGTTGTAATTCTTCTGTTGTTGATGGTTTAGCAGCGTCTCGTATTGCAGTAATGTGCGCGTCTGATTTATGGATGCCTTCAGCGTTTATTTTATGTCCTAGGAATTTTACTGATGTCGCAAAAACACATTTTTTTTCTGTTCAGTTTAAGTCCATTCTTCCTCACTCGTTCGGGAGCTTGCTCCAGCTTCACCAACATTTGTGTTCGATGCCCTGAAAAACCGTTTTCATGCGCCTTTGCCAGATAGCAGGAATATTGGCTGCGCCATATACGTACTGCTCGAGTCGGTCGAATAAGCCCATGCGTCGGGATGTTGAGCGTTAGGACATATCTGAATTTTTCGTCTACAGTCAAGTGCGAGTATGCGTCTGTGACGTCCAGGTGGCAGAATATCGTGGCCCCTTTCATCTGGTTGAAAATATATTCAGCCTTTGGAATCGGATGTTTGTCGATGATCATTCTGGGGTTGAGCGTTGGTTTGTAGTTTCCTGTGATACGAATTTTACCGTTCGTTTTTGCTACAACGTGAGTTGTTGAAGCCCATTCTGAATAATCTACTTTTTCGTATAATCCTGAAGTAATCTTGGCATCGATTTCTTTTTTGTATGTGTCCCGTAGTGCCAAAGGAATTTCTCGGGGTTTGGCGAAAATTGGAGACGCTTCAGGGTTTAAATAGCGTGTTAACAGGTGGTCAAGTTGTTTTTGTTGCTCTGGGCCAAGTCTCGCGGGGCTCACTGTTGTAATTGTGTACATTTTATCCGTTGGGGAAAAAAGCTTAGTAAAGTTGATTTTATGGGAAAATTGGCCAATCCATTCTCTTTCCAGGAGAGTGTCAAAGTCGTCTTCCACCACGTAGTGAAGTCGTCGAGTCGTTGCACCTATCGTTGCGTTGACCCATGCATCGAATTCGGTAATGTATAAAGCTTGCAAATTGACTGTCAGTTTTTTGTAAATGGAAATTGGGCTTAATTTTGCGAAGATTTTTTTCACTTATAATACCACGTGGTATATCTAATTCCATTTTCAGATTGTGGGTATCAATTTTAACATTGATTAATTATGACAACTATTGCTGCATTTATTGAAATATTCCATTGGACCGTCAGAATGAGCTGGAAATTGTGATTGAATTTCCCGCTCTGTTACTTGACCTGTTTAAAAATTTTTAGATTTGCAAACTTTGGAAATGTGGCCTTTTTTACCACACGCAAAGCATTCTTCATTGAGAAATTTGCACTGGCTGCGCACATGACGGCCTCCGCAACCGTAGCAATTGGAATATTTTCTTCTTTCTCCTCGTAGTTCCTTCTCATGATTTGGCAGTCAGTGTTCTCGTGTCGGCTGTCCCCGTTTGATCTGGGGCGGCGTAAATCCCAATATGTGCGTAGTCTCTCCTGCAGCTGTAGTTTCTGATATCTTAACCTGTTTCGCCGTATTTTTTGTTGCTTCCTGTTTGTGGTACCTTGCTTAGTTGCAGCGCCCAGTCGAAGCGTTTAAAGCGTTTAAAGTACTTGTGCACTTGTCCACTGTCGTTAATTCCGACGACTTGTACTCCGTTGCAACAAAATGTGGTTGTTTTGAGTTTTGTGCTTCCGAAGAATTTTGCATTGAGCTACTGGCTCGGCGGGTTGTCTCTGTCGCGTCGCTTTTTTAATCGCATCGGCAAATATATTGGTAAGAGTACCTCGGATTCTGTTGCCATTTTTTTATTCAACTTGCTTTCTGTCTTGGTATGGATTTGGTCGCCACTTCTAACACCACTGTTGAATTGGCGCTCGTGAATATTAATTATTCTAATTTATTGACTTTTAAATCTGACAAATTACAATTCATATATTCATCCCGGTATGTTATTTCCGTGGTAATATTTTAATAACAAAAACGTTTCCATCAAACTACTGCATTTACTAAAAATATTAGGTTTTTGTTGGTTTTGTTTATAGTTTATATCACATGCAAAGATAATAATGGGGGTTATTATCTTTGGTCACATGTTTTAAACATGTTTTAAACTAACCATAAAAAAGTTTTTAGCAAAAAATCACTGTCTTTTTAAACCCCGGTACAGAGTCGATAAAAGCTCTCGTGTTAAATGTTACAAATTCAGACAAAATCATCATATATTTTCATAAATACCTATGTTAAAAAATAAAGCGTTTTTTTTTTCGATTTAGACCAAAGAAGCTTTATTTTTAACATATTTTACAATGCAAAAATGGGCGTTTAAAAAACCTTACTATTGAGATAACCCTAAAGGAAGAAGTCCAAAGGCAATTGACTTTGCATTCCATCATACATAAATATGTTAAAAATAAAGCGTTTTTTTTCGATTTAGGCCAAAAAACGCTTTATTTTTTAACATATTTTACAATGCAAAAATACCGATTAAAAAACCTTACTCTTGAGATAACCCAAACTTTACATTCCATAAAGCCATTGTTGCATTGTCTGTGTGGCACGTCCTGAGCTGGGCAGCACTCAATACTGGGTGAGAATTCGTGAAACGGATCACTGTTTTCCCGACTTTGGAAATACAAAAAACAATTATTGGTTTTTGTAGTACTCATTGATAGTAAAATACTCCCAAATTAAAAAAGAATATGTATAAACAATTGTAAAAGTTATTTAAAAAAGAGCGTTTTTGACGATTTTTTTTTCGAAAATCTCTCATGGAAATAAAGCCTTTTAATAAAATTTTACCTTTATTGAAAATTCTTCAAAACTTATCAAATTTTAATATAAAATATATTTAAATTTAAAAAAAAAAAATATTTTCATAAAAAAAATTATTTATAATAAACAATTTGCATTTTTATAATTTTCTCAATGCTCTTTTTGAAAATCGTATTAATTTATATTTTCCTTTAAGTCTTTCCAATAAAAAACTAAAAAAAAAATTGGATTCTTAATTAAACGATTAATGACATTTGATTTTGTGAGCCGGCGCGACTTTTCTGGCCCTGGCACTCGAGCGCGCTCCCGACGCGACCCGTCCCATTGCGATGCGTACTTTATTATCAATAACTCTGCTATACTATACTATCAAGTAAACTGCGCACCACTCAATGTGTCGCGACCAAAAAGTTCGTCCTTTTTCAAAACGACATAATAACTTTTTTGTTTCTTGAACGATTTTATTTTGGTCTGTGATGTCTGCTAACCCCATCCTCTGGCAATTCATGCTATAGATATTAAGCACACGGTTCTTCAAGTAAATTTCCTACAGGGTGATATCATGATATGTAAAACGGTGAAAATTTTCAATAACTTCATCCAAGCCCCGTTTGTAAAACAATAATTTTTTTTTTCGTTTTTACTTTGAAATAATGAAGTATTATGTGTTACCTTAAAACGTTTTTCAAATTTTTCGAATTGGAATCTTAGCAACGAAAATATGATTTTTTTTCCAAAAGAGTACATTTAAGGATTTTTGGTAGGCAATATACTCAGTCTTTTTAAGAACAAGAAAATAAGATGGTAAAAGATTGTTCCTTGAATAATTCTGAACAAGCGACAAGCAACAAACTTCCATTATTTTCAGAGGGGCCTAAGCAAAGTCCACTTTTTCAAAATGACATTTTGGTGAAAATTTGCGAAAACTAAACCTGAACCGATATTTACGTTCGTGACATGTTTTCTTTATAATTTTGACCTCCTGATTGTGATTCAGTTGTCAAATTTAAGTTTCGGATAAAACCAAAATCATCAAGAATCAAAATTGGAAAACAATTCCTAAATTGCCTAAAAAAAATGTACTCTTTTGAAAAAAAATATCATATTTTCGTTCCAATATTCCAATTCGAAAAATTTGAAAAACGTTTCAAGGTAACACATAATCAGGCCAATTCACTAACATGAGTCGTTAACGGTAACCACTAGAATCAGTGGTTATCGGGCAATCCGGCCAATCGGGCCGTTTAAATATAACGATAACCACTGATTCAAGTGGCTAACGTTAACAACTTATGTTAGTAAGTTATACGTAATAATACATATATCACTAAAACAAAAAAATAATAAAGAAATAAAGTTACTCAGTTATAATATTTTTTTTGTCGCTTCTGTGAAAAATGAATTCTGGTTTTTACCCGGTTATTCTTCTGGGACCTTAATTATTTTTGAATGAGAAATAAACTGGTATTTTTAATCCAAATTTAAAAAAAAATTGGTTCAAATTGGTTTGAATTTGGCCAATAGACACAAGCATAGGCATGGATTGGTATATTCCAATTTAAGCCGCTGACTTCATTGGAACTTATCAATAGGAATGCAACTGGAATGAATTGGTGATTCATAGCGCCAAAACACATTCCAAACCAATTACTTATTTTTTATTGGATTCTAGCGGTCATTTCATATAGGGAAGGCTGTCGTGTGCGGCAGGCTGCTTGTCCGTTATTTGACAAGTCAGTGTTGCCAAATTTGCAACACCCACGCACATATGTGCACCCACGCCAACCTCACCGCATAAAAATGTACTCATTGCATGCTTAGGAAGTACTCGAGTACACGGGAAAGTGCTCAAGTACACGGGAAAGTAACCGAGTACATTTTTGCAATCTTAAATGTATTAGGTACAAGTATAAGTACATTCAAATTAAAGTACTCGAGACAGTACCGAGTACACTGAAAGTACTTGGAGTAGAGTGTATGAGTACTTGTACTCGAGTACCGCACAGCTCTGTAGTCTACAGCCTTAGAAATATGACCCAAAATTAGTATACTATACTATAGTATTGGTATACCAAACTAGTATACAACAGCCCTGATAGCACAGTTTATTCTAAGAATGTTTTTTAAACCTTCCAGTGAGAATATTCTTAGGATCATGCTATATTTCTTCTAGTCATGTTCTAAGAATGTTTTTTTAAACATTCCAGTGAGAATATTCTTAGGATCATGCTATATTTCTTCTAGTCATGTTCTAAGAATGTTTTTTAAACCTTCCAGTGAGAATATTCTTAGGAACATGCTATATTTCTTCTAAAGAACATGCTTAAAATAAATATAGCATAATCCTAAAAATATTCTCACTGGCCTATAGGCAGGTTCTTAGAAGGTGCAAAGTTTAGTGGTAAAAATTATTCCACTCCAAACATATGCTTAGAATGTTGAGAAAGTAATTGCTATAGAAAGTTCATTTAGGAATATTCCTGGAACATTCTGTTAAGCATATTCAGTTCAGTTAGGTACCTATATAATAGTAAAATATACCAAAATCTACGTATAAAGGTACCTATACTTAGTATTAAATACTAAGTAAAAAACACAACCCAAAATATTTTTTTAGTTATTTGTCAAATTAAAACAATATTCGATAACAAAAATACTTTTACTATAGGTATCTAAATTATCCGGCTTTTACATAAAATCTTCTATCCAACTTAAATACAATGCAAAATGTTTTTTTTATGAAGAACTATTTGGTTTTATGAAGAATTATTTTGTAAGGAAATATTTTGTTTTTTTTATATTTTATTATGTTAAAAATAAATATTTATTAATTTGTATACCGATTTTTTATATCTGAATTAACATTTTTATGTATAATAATCCTAACTATCTTCAACTTCAATCTAATCTGACTTATCCCACAAAATTTTCCAATTTTACTTTTTATGAAATAATACAACTTATAGTTTAGAGGTCAAATTGTTTATTTAATATTTTTAAATAAATATATATTAATATGTCGCAACATTTTTTAAGGGGACAAATACATTTCACTGTCATATTTTGACAGTGAGGCCTATTTGTCGCCTCCTGAAGAATTTTACGAATGTAGAATCCAACATATTAGAACGTGGGTATCTGACATGTTTGCAAATATTCTCAAAAGCTTCCTAGAAGCTCCATAAGAAACTCTAAGAACATTCCAAAAACGTATTCTTTAAATGTTCTTAGAATGCTTTTTAGGAAGGTTTTAAGAAGCTTCTAAGAATCTAATTGCATCATTAAAAGGGTATCTATTGAATGTTTTAAAAGTCCCTAAGAACATTCTTAGCAATAAGGGAAGGTTCGAATATTCCATTATTCCGGGTCATATCTTCTTAGAAGATTCTTAGAATCAAATTTTGCTATCAGGGAGTAGGTATTACCAATAGTTTTTATTGTTGTAGGATCATCAAAAACTATTGAAGGAACAATGGCGTGCATATTTAGTCAATTTGCGTTCGTGATGTTATTAAATTATCTGGGTAAATAAGATATAATTCTTTAAACATGTTTAAAATTTTCAAATTTAACTTATTCTTTGTTTGCAGATTGGATCCGTAATATGACCACATTCCTTTATATTAAGACTGCTGTTGCTATTTTATTAACATCAATTGTGGAAGCCAAAACTACACAAGTTGATAATTTGGTTTTGCCTCTTATTATGTACATAATTTTAATTTAATTGTAACTAATTATTTGTATAAAGTTTATAATTTTGTTATTTTTTAAATATATACTTGTTCTTAATGATCATCAACGCCCAGAGCAAACCGCTGCACTATGGACAATCTAGGTCTGTCTTGCATCAAAAATCCATGTATATATATATATATATATTTATATAGTAGATTGCGAGGCTTTAAATAAATTATTTTTTATTTAAATTTATTTTAATTAAATATTAAAAATCAATTTTTTTATTTTTAAATTTTGTAATCCGATTTTTAAATCGAAAAAATATATATTTTAAATATTATTGAATGACTTGAAAATAATACAAAAAAATAAAAAATCTTTTTCTTCAATAAAGCGCAGCCCTTGGGCTTCCAAATACAACAAAAAATGAGATATATGTATGTATTAGGCACAAAAAAAATAAAAAATCTTTTTTCTTCAATAAAAATAATATTTTTAATTTGTAAAAAAACTAATACAGTTCGGTTTTTAAAAGAAGTAACTTTCGTCATCAATTTACGGATCAAGCTCAGACATTGTATTGTGTTCAAAGGCCTTGGCACGCTAGCGATGGAATCACAGCACTGTGGATGGCATACAGCGATACGTATATCAAAAACAGGTTTTAAATATATGACGAAAGTTACTTTTAATAATCAAACTGTATCATACTTAACCTTCATTCAAAATAGTATTTTTAGTGAAGAATAAAAGATCCTTTTTTTGTATTTGCCTGATATATAATATTAAATCCTAGTAAATTAATTTAAAGCCTTGTAATCTACGGTATAATCGTACGTAAGATCACTTAAATGGGTTTAATTTTAGGAAGAAAAAACAATATCGGTTTTTCCTGTCCTAAAAAATAGCAACAACTAGCAGCTAATTTCAATAAATGTTTCTGATGAATTCAAATATTAAATTTAAAGCATCGGAACCTTTAAAAGCCTCAAAAAACTTCAAGCGGACAGCAAAATAAAAGTTTTTTGATTTGGTTTAAATTTGGATATGTTATACCCTAGATCCCATTTTTTTTATTTGGAAGTCCAAGGGCCGCACTATGACCTTTAGTTAATGACCACCTATACGCAATGGTATATTGTATATTAAAAAAAAAATAGAACATGATTATTTATCAATTTATACAATTAAATTTACAAAAAAATTATGCTATTTAATTATTTTATGTAAAACATTTTTATAAATAAAAAAGTTATGGATTTTTTATGCAAGACAGACCTAGATCTTCCATACTGCGCTAGTGCATTCCAATAATAATAGGGATAACCGCCAAGAAAGGATTTTTATATTTTTATTCCATACCCAAGGAGGTAAATTGGGACACTCCAGGTGTTTAATGGCTGAATGAATTTGGATAAAATTTGATATGAAGGTCTTGGAACAGAACGGAAATGGGACGGAAACTTTTTACCTTTTATTACTGCTTTGTGGCTTTTTTATTAAAAAAAAAACGAGTCGACGTGGTCTTATGCATTAAGATGGTTTATGGGCCGGTAATTTATAGAGATCGTTTATTGACAGAAAAGTTTCCAACTCTGTAATTGGTCAATTATTTTTCCCAAGAACCAGGCGATCAAAGCCGCCAGTAATTTTTAACAATTAGTCTAAACAATAAACAAAACTTTAATCACAAACGTTAATACAAGTACATATTATAAAAAATTAACAAAAGTAATGGAATATATATACATATTTATGAGTTTTTGATGGGCACAGCTTGGATAATACTTTTAACTTCAGTGTATTGATTTAATCCATATTCGCCCATTTCTCTACCGTGACCGGAATCCTTAAATCCGCCAAATGGAATTTGTGCTCCCAACACATTGTACGTGTTTACCCAGACAGTGCCGGCTCGGATGCCTTGCACCAAATAATTAACTTTGTCGAGGTCATTGGAAAAAACGGCGGAAGCTAAACCGTAATTTGTGTTGTTGGCACGTTCGATTATTTCGTCCAAATCACTGAATTTCATTAGTTGCTGAACTGGTCCAAAAATCTAAAAGTCAAAACATTAATTATTTTTTTCTAAAATGTAGTTTACATACTTCTTCTGTGGCGATGACGTGATGATCTTCTACGTTGCTAAAAACTGTTGGTTGAACGAAGTAACCCTCATCACCATGGCGTTTGCCCCCGGTCAGTAGTTGAGCCCCTTCCTTGACACCCTGATCAATAAGGCCTAAAATTCTTTTCATTTGAGTCTCATCCACTTGAGGTCCTTGTTCCGTCTTAGGATCAAAGGGATCTCCAGTGATACGTCTTTTTGCGCGTTCTACAGATCTATTATCACACGAATTATTAGAATAGAAAACAATTTATATAGCTTTACTTACCTTTCAACAAACTCATCGTAAATTTTGTCTTGAATAAATGTTCTAGAGCCAGCGCAGCACACTTGACCTTGATTAAAGAAGAGACCGAAATGAGCAGCTTCAACGGCTTTTTTGATATCAACATCGGCCAAAATAATGTTGGGACTTTTTCCTCCCAGCTCGAGAGTTGTGCGTTTTAAGTTGTGCATTCCTGCGCCTTGTTGAATCTTCAAACCAACCTCGGTTGAGCCGGTAAAAGCGATTTTATCGACTTTAGTGTTAGAAACAAGAGCGGCTCCAGCGTCTCCAAAACCGGGCACCACATTCAGTACTCCCGCAGGAAATCCAGCCTCCTTTGCAAGTTGAGCAACATAGAGGGCCGTGAGCGGGGTCTGTTCGGCTGGCTTAATCACAACGGTATTTCCCATGCTGAGTGCAGGCGCAATTTTCCACGCGAACATCAGAAGCGGAAAGTTCCACGGAATAATTTGACCGCACACGCCAACGGGCTCATGGCGGGTATAGCAAAAGAACTTCCCGTCCATAGGTATGGTTTTGCCATGGTTTTTGTCTGCCCAGCCGGCCATGTATCGCAACACCTTTATGGAGCCGGCTATGTCTATTGGGTAGGACAGGTTAAAAGGTTTGCCATTGTCCAGAGTTTCCAAAGCCTAAATCATCAAGAAAATTATCAAGAATATTATGCACATATTTAAACTTACGGCTACATATTCAGCATCTCTTTCGATTAAATCGGCTAATTTGTAAAGGAGACGACCTCTTTCAGAAGCGTCCATAGTTCTCCAGCAAGAACCAAATTTGAATGCTTCATTTGCGGCTTCGACTGCTATATCAATGTCTTCTTTACCACCTTGTTGAACTTCTGTGATTACTTTACCGGTAGAAGGGTTAATGGTTTCGAAAGTTTTGCCAGATTTCGACTTATGCCATTCATTGTTAATAAAAATCTAAAATGGTGAGACAATACAATTAAAATATAATTTATAATAAGATATATGTATGCTCTTTTATAGAGAGCCAATCAAAGCGTGTCATTTATTTATTAAAAGTCAACAAGAAAATTAAACCAAAAACAAAACTTAAGGTAAACACAACATAAATTAGTCATTTAAATGTGACTGAACAAAATAAAATATTTTTGTGGATAATTTTTAGATCTACAATTTGTATAATTGAAGATATAACGAGATCTCGGATTTTTGGCCGATAATAACCGAGACCAAGATCTCGGTCGGACTTTAACGAAAATGTTACTAAATATGTTCATCCACCAAGGGACCGTCCATAAATCTCGTGACGCTGAATAGGGAGGGGTACGTTTCTTAATTATTATTGTGTCATTTTTGTAATTAAGGTAAACTCACACAAAATGTCCCGTTGTTTTGACATAAGAAGAAATGTTTACATGAACTTGGATGGTTTAAAGGTTAGTTTCCGAAATACAGGATTAGCTTTGCAGCGTTGCGGCGTGAGAGCATCTCAACTAGATATTTAAAAATACGGTGGACTAGAATGGCAAAAAACAAATAAAGATATTGAAATTTTAACACCATATATTTGTGGTGGCAATTTTATAAGGGTTTCAATGATTAAGAGCTTGTCAAAGTAAATTAACTAAATTATTTTTCTTCCTGCACTATGTTACTTGAATTTTACTGTCTCCTTAGGGGTAATGTTACAAAAATCCTTGTGGCAATGTTGCAGGAACATTGCAACAAAGCCTTATGTCCGGCAGCCGGACTCCGGCTCAGGAACATTACATATACAAAAAAATGTTGCTTAAATGTATTAATTGCAATGTTACTAAATGTTATATGTGTTATTGTAAGTTCCTGCAACATTACAGGAACATTGCAATTAAATTAATATGAATTATTATAATAATTATTAATTATTAATATTTATCCGTAAGCCTATAATCCGGATATACATATTAGGGTGGGTCAAAAAAATCGACTATTTTTATTTTGACTTCTGCCACTGAAAAATCGGTTTCTGGGCACCTTCAAAACATGCTTAGCAACGATGAGCTCTTAACTTTGATGGGAAGATCAGCATCATTACAGTTTTGCATATTTTTCTTAGTCCCCTACAAAAAAATTCATATCTCATCATTCGTTAATCATACAGCAAAACTCGAAAGGAGTTATTTGTAGAAAATTAAATGTTCTACAAAAAAGATCTCTTATACTTTTTTGATCAATCTAACTATTAAAGAGATATTCAAGGTCAAAGATTGAAGAATTTTAAGAAAGATAACTTTTCTGTTCTGAATTTTGTAACTTACTGAAAAAAAAATATCGACAATTGAGATTTTACTATGTCTATCGGAAATTAAACGCTCTACAAAAAAGGTCTCTTAGGATTTATCGATTACTCTAACCAATCAAAAGATATTCGCATTTGAATATCAGTGCACACATCAATTGCAAAAAGAAAGTTTTTAATTTCAAATTTTGTAGAAAAAGAAATATGAGTTACATATTAGATAAGTTACATATTAGATAAATCCGTTAAAATAAATAAACGAACCTAAACCGTGATAAGAGTGAAAGTATAGAAAAAAATTATTGTTAAGCAATTGATTGAAAGCAATACGAAAGCAAACGAAAGATAAGACATAATTTGGGAACTCACATTTCATCAAGATGAACTTAAATTTTATGAATTATCTCAAAATTTATAAATTACACAGATGAATTGGAAAAAATCATTAAAAAACTATGAATAGCAGTATGCACTGACATTCCAATGTGAATATCTTCTGATTGGTTAGAGTAATCGATAAATCCTAAGAGACCTTTTTTGTAGAGCGTTCAATTTCCGATAGACATAGTAAAATCTCAATTGTCTATAATTTTTTTTCAGTAAGTTACAAAATTCAGAACAGAAAAGTTATCTTTCTTAAAATTCTTCAATCTTTGACCTTGAATATCTCTTTAATAGTTAGATTGATCAAAAAAGTATAGGAAATCTTTTTTGTAGAACATTTAATTTTCTACAAATAACTCCTTTAGAGTTTTGCTGTATGATTAACGAATGATGAGATATATATTTTTTTGTAGGGGACTAAGAAAAATATGCAAAACTGTAATGAGGCGGATCTTCCCATCAAAGTTAAGAGCTCATCGTTGCTAAGCATGTTTTGAAGGTGCCCAGAAACCGATTTTTCAGTGGCAGAAGTCAAAATAAAAATAGTCGATTTTTTTGACCCACCCTAATATGTATATCCGGATTATAGGCTTACGGATAAATATTAATAATTAATTATTATTATAATAATTCATATTAATTTATGTTCCTGTAATGTTGCAGGAACTTACAATAACAAATATAACATTTAGTAACATTGCAATTAATACATTTAAGTTTTACCGCCGACGGTGGTCTAGTGCATGCTGACTACAAGCCGGAGGTCGTGGGTTCGAATCCCACCAGGGGTATGGCTGTTTATTTGTGTTTGTCCTATTGTGTATTAGTCCTTCGGAGGGGACTTTAAGCCCGTGGTCCGTTCCTACCCCTAACCCGCACAAGCCATTCAGTTGGCTTATGGGACTTCTTAATTAAGAAGTAAGGGTGGAACTAAAAGAGCACTTTTGTATATAAACTTTTGTATATGTTTATGGTGAAGCCAGGCAAAATGCACACGAAGCAGTAAGAATTTATCACAGAAAATTTCCTCAAGCACGAATTCCGCATAAGAATACATTTGAAAATTTACTTCGTCGCTTAAGGCAAACTGTTTCTCTAAAACCAGCCAAATTTAATTCTGGACGTAGAAGATACCGGCGAACCGTTCAAGTTGAAGAAGCTATTTTAAATAGTGTTCAAAATGACCCAACTACAAGTACAAGAATTGTTGCAAATGAATTAGGAATATCAGCGTCCTCTGTGTTAAGGACCCTACAGGAGCAACAATTGAAGCCTTACCACTTTACAAAAGTCCAAGAGTTGTTGCCAAGGGATTTTATTCCCAGGCAGGATTTTATTCCCAGGCCAGAAGAATAGCCAATTCACAATACCAATTTTCCATCAACATATGGGCCGGCATTATTGATAATGAAATAATTGGGCCAGTTGTTTTACCTAATAGGCTTAACCATGAATCCTATTTAAATTTTATCGCCAACGATTTGCCGGAATTGATCCCTTTGCATGTAAGAGGCCGCATGTGGTTCCAGCATGATGGGGCGCCGCCACATTTTGCAGCCGATGTTTGAACTTATCTCAATGAAACATACGGTGTTCGTTGGATTGGACGAGGAGGTCCTGTTGGTTGGCCACCTCGTTCACCCGATTTAAATACTTTGGATTTTTATTTTTGGGGTCATCTAAAGGAAATTGTGTATAAAACGCCTGTTCATACAAGAAATGAACTAATGCAACGAATACACGAAGGATTTCAAACAATTAAAGAAAATCGCCATGTTTGTAACAGAGTACGAAAGTCCTTACGTCGTAGGCTACGTGCCTGCAATGAAGCTGGTGGTGGTCATTTTCATCATTATCTTTAGTTAATATTTTAGAAGTAAGTTAATTGTCTACTTAAGGGTTCAAAAAATAAATGTTCATAAAAAACGGCTTGATTTAACAAAAAATAACAAGAGGCAGTTTTTGTTTAGTTGGAATCATTTTTGTAAAGATCAAACATGGCAAAAAGTATAAAATATGAGTTTTGTCAATTTTCATGTAATAATGTGGTTTTTATTTTTTTTTTTCGAAAACGAGGTAAGATACGAAAAATACTCAAGAGACAAAAAAGTTGAATTTTTAGTGGCTTAATCTAAAAAATTTATAAAACCTGGAAAAAAATCAGTGGCGCACATTTTTTTTCTTAATAATATTTCTTAAGGTGCCCCCCGGGACGCCACTGGACTTAAAAATTTTAACGTAGTTAAAGAAAAATTAGCTACTTATTACTATAAATAACGTTACCAAATTTCAACAGAATCCGCCAAAGGATATTTCAGATATTTTAAAAAAGCCGTTTAAAAAAAAATATTTAACACCCTGTATCTTAAAAACTAAGCATCTTCGGACCCACGTTTATATGACTTTTTTTGCTTATTTTTGGATGATGAATCTCCAGCCGAGCGTTGGCGCATGTTTTTTGAAACACCCTGTATATGGGTAATTCTTTTACAAATATTGCCCTTTGTACTTTACTTCTTATGACGTTTAAAACACTTGCCACGTAATACTGTGACCGTCCATCCTGGATTAAATTAATAGCTCTGGCAACATCAGTCGGAGACATATCCATTTTATAAAGTAAGAAGACACCTCAAAATTGAAACATTAATTTGCAAAAAACAATTTGATAGCTTTTAAAAGCCGTGTATGACATGTCCAAGTATGGGATGATTCAACAAAACTGTCACTGTCATTCTCCATAGCCTATGGATGGACCATAGCAACCTTAGTTCTTCATACAGAAAAATATTGGAAATTGCAATGTTTTTTAAAAAAATCCATATTTTCCACAAAAATAAATATATCGAGGTGAACCAAAAACAAAACTGTTAAGAATAGATGTGACTTGATAAATAAAACTTAATTTAGAACAATATACGGTTTTGCCACTCTACAGAGTGTCTTAAACTTATGGTAAAAAAACATATTTTTGTTTAAACCTGTATATTATAAACGTACGTCTATTTTTTAGTATTTTTTTAAAATGTGAGCGATTGTCCATTAATTTATCTACAATATTCTTTAATATTCGTTTAAATCCGACATCAAATAAAAAAGTTATTTGCGATTGAAATTCATCGAAAATTTGTGTGGGCCGATTATTTTGCACGTGAGTGTAGTTACAATGTTCCAAAAATCTAGCAAATTAAATGTTTATATTGTTTATATAAAGTAACATTGCAAAAATCATCTTAATGTAATATTTCGGATGAAAAATTGCCCAAAACTTATCAATGTAATATTATAATTGCAA